GAAATAGTGAAAGGCGTGCTATAGATTAGCCCCAAGTTGAGGTTTAAACAGCACAATTTAAAATGATTGCTTTGGAATGGGGGTGGGTGGGTGGGTGGATGGGTAGAGGGGAGTTTCACCTTTCATCTGTGCATCTTGAAGAAAAACAGAAAACAATAGCTGACAGTAAAAATGAGAGGTTGGCACTTCGTCTAAAATTCGAGCTGTTAAATAGAAGAGAAGCTGGATTCTAGCCTGATGGAAAACAGAGAGCCAGACAAGTCCACTGCAGTTCATTTAGTCATCCTGCAGATATTTAACGAGCATCTATTATGTGGCTGGCCCTTGATCAGGCGCTGCCGAGTCAGTGAATCAGGCAAGACAGATGGGTTGTCTGCCTTTAAGGGGCTAACACACTAGGAATGTGGGCAAGCAGCCCAAAGACGCAATAAACGAGTAGACAAAGGAGTAAGTGAGACATTCAGAGATCGTAGTGTCATTTGAGAAAGCGCATGCTGTGTATGCTCTATGGCCAGGTCAAGTCAACCTGCCTCGTTTATGTTTATGAGGTGATTAATGTTATAAAATAACAGGTTCGTTTAGCTTACAGTTTTGAAGGTTCCAAGTACAAACGCACGGGGAAGCCAGCCAGGACCACTCCTTGACTGGCTCACCTCACTACATGGGTGATAATAGCGGGGAATGTATGTTGGTGCACACTTGTCTAGTCAGAGAAGAAAGTGAGAGAATCCACCAGAATCTCACATGGAGGATGTATCCTCAGTGACCTACAGACCTCCTGTGAGGCCCCACCTCCCAAAGGTTCCACACCTTCCAATAACACTACTGGATCTCCGAATTTAGCCATATCTGAGGGTGTGGCTTTTGAGGGAAAATCCAAAGACCGGGAAAGAAGAAGCCGTGTTCCATGTACTTTGGGGTTATTATGATATTATTTTGAATATTAATTTTGCACAGATGTGTTTTCATTTCCCTGGTAAATGCCTGGGAGGATAGTGGCTTGATCATCTGAGATTACGTTCAATCATTTCGGAAGGACCAGAACGCTTTTAGAAAACAGCCAGTAGCAACATGCAGACTCCCATGAGCAGTCTATTAGATTCTCACTCCTCCACAGTGGTCAGTGCCATTGATACTACTGATGACAGCCATCCAAGTAAGTTGCTGTGGCTCTGATTCGCATTTCAGCATCTTTTCTTTCTTTCATTTGGTTTGGGTTATTTGTTTGTTTGTTTGTTTGTTCAAGACATGGTCTCTGTCTAAGTCAGTGTTCTATTGCCGCAGCAACTCTTAAAAAGGAAAACATTTAACTGGGGCTGCCTTACAGTTTCAGAGGTTTAGTTGATCATTGTCATAGAAGGAAGTATGGCGGCATGCAGGCAGACATAGTGCTGGAGAGGTAGCTCAGAGCTCTATTTCCTGATCAGCAGGCAACAAGAAGAGAGAGAGGAAGACACTGGGCATAGCTTGGGGATTTGAAACCCCAAAGCCTACCCCAAGTGACACACTTCTCCCAAGGCCACACCTACTCCAACAAAGCCATACTTCCTAATCCCTGTCAAGTAGAACCACTTCGCTAATGAACAAGCATTAAATTATATGCGCCTGTGAGGGCCATTCCTACTCAAACCATCAGTCTCACTCTGTAGATCTGGCTGTCCTGGAGCTCACTATGTAGACAAGACTGGCCTTGAACTCTCTTAGATCTGCCAGCTTATGCCTCCCAAGCTGGGATTAAGAGCCTGTGCCACTACACCCAGCTTTTTCTTTCATCTTTTTTTTTTAATTTTAGTACATTTTCATATGTTTATTAGTCAGTTGTATTTTGGAGAAATGTCTATTCTGGTCAAGGCTTACTTCTAATGGTGCAATCTTTATATTACTGGTGTACTAATAGCTTTTTTTTATATTCTAGACTCTCACCCTCTGAGACAACTAATTCACAAACATTTCCCTCCCATTCTATGGACTGTTTTTTTTCCATTCCTTCATAATCTCCTTTGGTGCAAATGAGTTATAACTTTTATGTTCATCTGTTTTGCTTTGGTCTCTCATGCTTATGTTGTCATATCGAAGAATTGTTTGCCAAATCAGAAGTCAAAAAGTCAAGCACTGCCAAACTCATTTCGCTAGCGCTGTAGCAGGCGATTTTACTCTATAAATATTTTTTAAATGTTTTTTTCTTGTAATCCTTTTGTCTGGTTTTGGTATCCAGGTAAGGATGGCCTTACATAATGAGTTGGTAAGTATTCTCATCTAAACTATTATTTTTGAGAATCTGTGAAGTTTGACATTATATATATATAACATATATTATTTATTATTTGAATATTATTTATTATTATATATGAATAATCATTTAAACTATACACATGAATTTTATTATGACTGTTCACACATTGTGTGACTGTCATCACCATCCTCTCCAGAACTGTTTTTCATCTTCCAAAACTGAAACTTTGTACCTATTAAAGTTATTTATTCTTTAAATGTTTGAAACAATTTACCAATGAAACAGTCTCATGCTATATTTTTCCTTGTGGAATTGTTTTTATTAGCCACTAAGCCTCTCTAGTGATAAATATGCTTAAAGGTTCTGATTTCTCCTGGGTCTATTTGCTCAGTTTTGTATATTTCTAAGAATTTTCACATTCCATACAAGATAGCTAATTTTCTGGCAATTAAATGTTCACAGTATTCCTTGATAACTAAATTTCTGTTGGGTCTATGGTAATGCCCCCTCTTTCATTTCTGATTTTAGTATTTTGAACCTTCTCCTTCCATCCTCCTTTCCTTGGTCATTCTAGCTTAAGACTCACCTATTCTGTTCATTTAAAAAAAAAATAATAATAATAATAATAATAATGTATGGCCTCTCTGACTTTCTCTGTCTTTGTGTTTTCAGTCTCTATTTCACAAATTTCAATTGTAATCTTTTTTCCTTCCTTCTTCTTACGCAGACTTCAGTTTGCTCTTCTGTTTCCAGTATTTTAAGGTAGAAGCCATTTGTTGATTGGAGATCTTTTTTTTTTTTTTTTTTTTTTTAGTATAGGCACTTAAAGCTGCAGACTTCCTTAAGGTTAGCATCATCTCACAGAGTTTGATATGCTAGGTTTCACTATAACTCAACCTATGCTTGACTTTCCCCTATGTCTTTCTCTCTGATTTGTTATTTACTTATTTGGTATGTTGCTTAATTTCTACATTTTTAAATTTTCATAAATTTCTTGGTGTTATTCACTTCTAATCTTCGTTGTAATCAAAGAACATGGCTTGTATCATTTTGATGATTTTTAAATCAACTGGGGTTTATCTTACATCCTAGCATATGGCTCATTCTGGAGAATATAGCCTTATGCTGCAGAAGAATGCATATTCTGTTAGGTGGAGGGTTGTGGGTGTATGTTAAGTCTAATTTCTTTATAATTTCATGCATCTTATATTTTATTTTTATCTTTTAATTAATTGTTCATTTGTTGGCTGGCTGGTTCATTAGTTGGTTGGTGAGAGGATCTTACCATGTGGCCTAGGCTGGCCTTGAACTTATGATTCTTCTGGGCTGGGATTATAGGTATGTACCACTACACCTGGCTTCTAGCTAATTTTATAGAAAATGGAGTACTGCAGTTCCCGCTGATGTTGCACTGTGTCTATTTCCTCTCAGTGTTTTAGCCTTTGCTTAAAGTATTTTGGGACTCTGCTGTTAAGTAAATATATGTTTGTAGTTTTTGTGGCTCCGTGATGGATTAACCCTTTTATTGTAAGATTTTTTTTCTAGTGACTTTGTTTTGAAGTCTCTTTTTTCTTAATTATTACAGCCACTCCAACCATCTTATAATTATGTTTTCATATTATATATTTTTCCATTCTTTCACTCTTAATTCTGGTTCTCTATACTGCCTATAGAAAGTAACATAGTTATGGGTTTTTGCCCAGACTGATAGTCTCTTGGTCTGATTAGTTAATCAGATCACATTCAGCATGACAGTTGATACAGCTGTATCATTTTACTTTTGTCTGTGTGTTTCATGTCTTTTCCCCTTTCATTTCTCCTTTTTGCTATAACCAAATACTTTGTAGTATAATATTTGAATCTCTTTAAAAGATTCTCCACCATATTTATTTAGTGATTTTTCTAGGGCTTACCACACACGTCTACCAAAGCTACCTCTTATTTACACAGATTAACCCCAGTGAGAATCAAGTTCCTCACAGTATAACATAACTCACTTCTCTTAGCTTCCCTTATTGTTGTAATGCACCACCCCACCCCCAGCTTCTCATCCATCTCCATCTGACTTAGTGAGGGAACCACAGCCCAGAGAGAGCCGGCCTCAGTTACATTTTAGCACGTGAGTTATCCAATAGCTCTTGGTCTCAGTGTCTTCATACTGAATGGGAAGATTTAGATGAACCTAACCTCAGAGAAGTGAGATCTTAGCGCTGAGCCTGCATCTAGTAGGGCCTCTGAAAACTGGCCAGTGTTTTGCCCTCACAGAATCCCAGGCATCAATTTACATAGGCATTTTCATGGCAGAGAATCAAAAAGTGTGCATGTGGACTAGAGGGATGGCTCGGTGGTTAAAGCACTTGCCACGCAAGCTTGGGGACTGGAGTTCAGGTCCTTAGAACCCATATAAATGCTGAGCAGGTTGGGAAACCGTATAATCCCAACCTCAGAAGTTACAGACAGAGAATTCTCAGAGTCAGCTGACTCCTGAAACTAGCCATCTCCGTTGCCCTATCTGAGGTTTCCTGTCTGTGGGTTAGACGGGCTCCTGGAGCAGAAGAGCCAGGGGAAATGAAGGAGGGTAACCCACAAACACCGAAGCCCTTAAGAGCAGCTGGGTAGAGCAGCAGGAACAACCAGGACAAAAAGCCTGACCCTGACTATCCTCTACTTATTAAGGGATAAATGGCCCCCAGGGCAGCCTTGTTGAAGGAGGAAGGTGTGTGGCAGGCCTGGGAACCAGCTCAGTGTCCCTTCTCTCTGTCCACAGTAGCACGATACAACCGTACCAGCTACTTCTACCCAACCACATTCTCCGAGAGTTCTGAGCACAGCCACCTGCTGGTGTCTCCAGTGCTGGTGGCAAGTGCTGTCATAGGTGTGGTCATCACCCTCTCCTGCATCACCATCATTGTGGGGAGCATCAGAAGGGACAGACAGGCCCGGATCCAGCGACACCACCATCGCCACCGCCGCCACCATCACCATCACCGTCGCCACCGCCACCGCCACCAAGAGTACGAACAAGGCCACGGTGAGCTCTGGGTCATGCTACTCATGCCGCTGTTAGGAGGTGTTCATGGGATGGAATCTCTGCTTTAGGGTCAGGGAAGTATCCTGGTCCATCAGGAAGAGCTCACAAGTATCCATTATCATAGCAGGAAAGGCCTGTGGTCTGCCAAGTGAAGAACCCTAGGAAGAAGCTGAAAGCCAGTTGGAAAGTGTGTCATATTCCTCAACCCCTGCCACTGTTGTTTCATGCCATATTGACACTGGTCCAGCTGGTATCTGGATGGATGCATGCATGGATGCATGAAGAGATGGGTGCATGGAGAGATGGATGCATGGAAAGATGGATTTGTGAGTAGGTAGGTAGGTGGGTAGGTAGATGATAGGATGAATGGAGAGATAATTAGGTGGGTGGGTGGGTAGGAGGGTAAATAGACAGATAGGTGGATAGACAAATGGAGAGATGGATGAATAGAGAATGAGTAAAAAGATAGATGAGTGATGATATGGAAGGCTGGGTGAGTGAGTGAGTGAGTGAGCGAATAAATGGGTAGATAGGTGGATATGTGGATAAGTAGAAGGATATGTTTGTAGATGAGCAGATGGATGAGAAGGAATGGTTGGTGAATGAGTGCACAGGTAAGTGGAGATATGGATGAGAGGAGAGATGAATGGATGGATGAATGAATGGATGCATGGAAAGATGGATGGATGGAAATATGGGTTTTTGAGTAGGTAGGTAGATGGGTGATAAGATGAATGGAGAGAAAGATGGATGGGTGAAAGAATGGACAGAGAGGGATTGATGGGTGGAATAAGGCAGTAGAGGAATGGGTGCATAAGGGATTGAAAGCATAGATCAGTAGATAGATGGGTAGAGGGAATAGATAGATAAATGGGTATGATAGATAGACAAATTAAGAAATAGATGAATAGAGGGTAGGAGGATGGATTTACAGGTGGATTGAGTGGTATGCTTAAGTAAGAAAGATAAGGCTGGGTGAGTAAAAAATGGAAAGATGGATAAATGAGAACTTAGGCACAGGTGGGAGTGTGCTAGGATGAGGAGATACAAATATATGGATGAATGGATGATGGAGCAGTGAAAATATATCACTGAAAGCCCACAAAGAACAACAAACTATTTCAGGATTTCTTGATGGCTATTTGGGACAGGGAGACCAGTCCCAGGAGTGTCTACCTTGTCAGAATGCATGGACTTTACAGAACAGGGCCACCTGACTCTATCTCATTCCTGGCAAGGACTGCCAATGGTCTAAATGAAGCAGAATGGTTCAATTATGAACCAGTGTTCCATGGCAGGAACAGGGCCTACAAGAGCTGGCACAGGGGCAGCCTGGGCCACTACTCACTAGAGACCTCCTGCCCCCACGGGTGTGGGGGGAGCAGACACAGGCTTCCCTATGAAGTGGAGGACCCTGGGAGGCCTCTCACTATAGTTGAAGTTTTTGTGGGCCTTGGAGGGCCTTCCCCATCCAAGGCAGGAGGAGCCTGGAGGCAAGGAAGAACCAGCAGGGCTGGGCCACCTGTTAGCAGTTAAGGGACACCTGGAGGTAGCATAGAGGACAACAGGAAAGAACACCTGCTGATCCGTGGAGCTCTCTTTGCATACTCTCATAATCCAAAATCCTCCTTGGGCAGTCTTGAGTGGCTGGCTTTCCTACCCACCTCAATTCGCTGATCAAAATTGAGGTTGGAGCAGTTGCTCATCAGATCCGGGTCACCCTCTTGCAAGAGTCAGATTAGACATGTGAGCCCTCAGACTGACCCCTGCACAGCCCTAAAGGACCACCTGTGGGCATAGGGCTGGGTCCAGCAGACACTTGGATGCCAAGGGCCCTTCAGACCTAGCTGTTGCTCCTCTGGAAAAGTCTAGAGAGAAGGAAGAGGCCAAACCTTAGACAATGCCGAGAGGTGTGTCAGTGGAAGAAAGATGGCCAATTAGTGACATGCTCTCAGCTAGGACTAGAAAGAAAAGTCAGCAGGTTTGCATGGACAGACAAGAAAACTCAGCCAGCCTAGACCCCATAGGACAAGCTCTCCCTGGGAGACAAGTTAAGAGCAGAGCCCATACCAGGCTGACATGACCTACCCTCCCATGAGGAGCCCAGGTACTACTTTAACTCTTCTCCATCCTGGCAAATCCAGTTCATCCCTCATGTCCTCCTGCTCCTTCCACTCAGCCCCTGCTTCCCCATGACCCTGCTCATGCTCTTTCAGCATCTACCCTCTCCAACATGCTTTGGCCCTGCCATTATTCTGAAGCTGCCCAGGGCCTGGCTCAAAGGCTACTTACGTCCTGTGAGAAACATCCTCAGCCCTCCTTATCCCTACCAGGAAAAGTGAAGCAGAACACATACGCACCTTCTTCCTTGTCCTCATACCCAGACCTCCAGCCTGTCACAGAGGTGACAGCCACAAAGGCAGGGCCTGTATGTGGTTCGCCCCACCTGCACCCAGCCCAGAGAAGGTTTTTCAGAGGCTATATGGAAGGAGGGACCTTCATGAGTCTTTGTGGCAAGGCTTAGAAGTGGGTTGAGTACTATAGTTCCCCAGCCAGGGATGGGGAGACAAGGAAAGCAATAATTTCCAGCTCTGCAAGTGGATCCCAGCCTGCATGAGCCTGGAGAGCCTCTGGGCAGTGCTGGCAAAACAGGACCCCGGCTCCAGTGCCCAGTGGCTCTGGCCTAGTTTCTATTCTATTGTTTTGTCTCATCTTTCCTGGCTTTCCTCTCCCACCTCCTTCCAAGCTCTTCTGAAGGGGAAAGAATCTCAGCTGAGCTCCTTTTCCACAGCCTGTTATTGGGTTTATTTTTTTTTTCTAGTAGAAAGTATGTACTCATTATAGAAAACCTTAAAAATACAGGAAATATGGAGGATTAAATAAGGGTCATGACCTGCCAGACAGGCAGAACCACCAATAATGAATGGATGTGTCTGCAGTATTTTCCTCTGAGAGTTTTCTTGACTCCCATGAGTAACTCCAGAATTGGACCTGTGGATATGGTTTCTGATCTAGATTCTTCCGTTACTGTTGGATCAAGAGTAAGGAGAAGTCTATGTGGGGAGTAGGAGCTGAGCACGCCTGCCTCTTCTCTCCTAGTTCTGTACTTATCAAAGCTTAGCACTTCCACCCAGTGCCAAGGCTGCCCTGGGCTAAGCTCTGATCCATCCTGGAGGCTCCTCAGGATAGGACAAGCCTTGTCCTCCCCGAACTGCACACACAGTTCTCGCATTGTGGCGGAGTTGCTCAGGATGGGGGCAGCTGTGTGTGGTAAGGAGGTGGTCACATGAGGACTTCCGAGCCTTGGATGGATCGCCGCTGTGCGGGAAGTCCCTAGCACTGCCTTCGATTCTGTTCTCCACAGACTCCGGAGGACCCTCACAGGGCCACGCCAGCCACAGGATGCCCCGCGCCTGCAGCCCTGCCGAGGACTGGCCCCCGCCCGTGGATTTCAGTTCTGATGGAGATGTGGATGTCACAGTGCTCAGGGAGCTGTACCCAGATTCCCCACCAGGGTAAGGAGGCCCCGTGGTGGGGAGAGCAGGGGGCCCCCTGGATATAAAGATCTCCCACCCAGGGAAAGAACCTCAGCTCCCCGTGTATAAATACAAAAGGATTCTAGTTGGCTTGGCCACAGCCTCTTCCCGCCGGCCAAATAAGTCCCCTTGAGGATGGAGATTGTCATCAGGATGGACTACAGACACTAGCCGGGCTTCTTCAGGCTGACGGGTGATGGGGAGGGAAGCCTCATGGTTTGAGGGTAGTCTCATGACAGTTTTCGTAAGCTTCAATAAGTTCCTCCGGGGATCTCCCTAGGGACATGAATGGTGGGATGGTCGGGATCGTGGCCATGGGATCAGTATCCATTTAGGGAGAAAAATCTGTAGAGCTTCTATTTGTGACACCAGGATCTTGCCCACCCCAGGATCAGTCTTTTTCTTTTTCTTTTTTTTTTTTTTTTTTTCAGGATCAGTCTTTTTCACACACGATGGTCATAGCCACAGAGTCCTTGACTCTAGCCCCTATCATCTGTTGGGTCTGTTGTGTGCTGTGTGGTCAGCCTGCCTTTCCAGTCTTGTCCCCACCTTCTGCACACCCTTGCCTTAGGCACATCTAGGCCCCAATCTCAGTTAGCCCAGGCAGGATGGACTCTCATCAGACAATCCCTGTCTGATATGAACCTAAATAGCCCTGACTCACAGAGAGCCCCACTGCCTCCCAAACTCTATGCCTGTGCACCTTTACATCCAATCAAAGTAGCCCCCATTGGCCTCGTCCTTTAGATGAACCACAAGGACAGAGGAACATCCCACAGTGCCCTTCCCCAACTAGTTACATTCCTTCCCCATACAAATTAAAGCAACAGAGCTTCCTGGGGGACAGGGAGGTGAGCATGTTCTCAAGGCACATCCTCAGGGGCTCTAGAGTTGTCGTCCCACGCTCAACCATGACCCCCAGCTACCCACAGTGCCTTCTTGCTACCAAGAAAAATCCCACCCTACTTTACACAAGGAAATAGAGTGTAGAGTCCGCTGTTCCTCTGCTCTTGGGGTGGGACATCTAGATCCCCAGATTCCAAAACCCACCCATTAGGACAGGAATTATAATGGCCAGCCCTCACTGGGGATTTGCGGCCTGTGAAGTGATGGTGCCTTCTTGGGCTTTGAGTTCTTCCAGCCACCTGCAGTCACCACCGTTTAGAACAGTGGGTCAGAGCCCTGTCATTTTCCCCACCGTAGACCTTGATCCTAACAAATACGTTGTTTTCCCTCCAACCAGGGGCTCTGGGAGGAGCAGCAGGTGCTCTTAACCCTACAGCTATGGTTTCAGGGGACAGGGGCTCCTACCAGGCCTATTCATGACACCTAACCTGGGACTTTTCTCTAGACAGAGTCTGCTCTTGCTCCAGGGAATCTAAATCCCTCCCCATGAGAGAGGGGTGTAGGGGCTTGCTTGGGTTCACATGGGATGTGAGGGTAATGTCTGCCCCAGGATGCATATCTTAAGGGTGTCAGTCTGTCCTCCCTGGGGACTAGCATGGTCCCGTTAAAGCCAGCATGTGTGAGGCTGGCTATCTTCTGCAATCAGGGCAGCTCCTCACCACACAGAATATATACTCTTCCACTTGCCCTAGGGCCTTGGGATCCATAACTCCCTGAGTGAAAACTCTTCTCTCGCAGCTATGAGGAGTGCGTGGGACCAGGGGCCACTCAGCTGTATGTCCCCACAGATGCACCACCACCCTACTCGCTGACCGACTCCTGTCCCATGCTGAATGGCACCCTTGACTCAGGCAGTGGCCACGGCCAACATCAGCAGTGGGAGCAGCGGGCCCAGGGCCAGAGTGGCCTCCACACTGTCTCCGTGGACATGCTGCCACCTTATGAAGCTGTGTGTGGAGCAGGCTCCCCATCTGATCTGCTGCCGTTGCCGGGACCAGAACCACAGCCAAGTAACTCCCAGGGCTTACCCACCCCAACCCAGGTTCTAGCCACCAGCCCTGAGAGGGTCGTGTGAGTGACCTCGGTCCTTCCAGGCTACCGTGTCTCCTCCAGGCACACCGGTGCACACACAGCTCATGCACGTGCTGATATATGACTATAAACACATACGGACATACCCCAAGGGCACACATGACACCTCCCACACTTATTTAAACACCTGAATATACACAGGTCCCACTACCACACAAACTCACCTAGGAAGGTTCTCTTGAGATGACGTGCCCCCTAACTGGTGTCTCTTCCTCCCCAGTGTGGTGCCTGGTGGCAGCACCTCTCTGAACTGTGCTGGGCAGAGGTGAGACAGAAAGTCCTACTTTCTTCCCCCTCCCCCAGCCTCCTCTAGGCTGTGGCCACACTCTGACTCTCCTGCAGAAACTGCTTGGTCAGCTTCCTGCCACAACCCCTACCCCAGGGCTTGTCCCACTGGGAGCTGAGACAGGTTCCAACGAGGTCCCACTATGCACCGTGCCTCTCACCTCCAGGGCAGAAGAGCCACAGTGTCAACCATCCTGCCACCTGCAGGGTGGATAGGAACAGGTGTGGTGGCTTAGGTCATCCTCGAAGCCGTCGAGCCTCTCCCTGTCTCAGTATCCTCAGTTTGGCGGTGCTAGTCGGCTCAGCCACCCACCCCAAGTCACAAGGGGAGGACAGACCCTTGGGCACGTGTCACGGAGGAGCACCACAGTTCTTCCCATGTCCATGACAGCACTGAGAGCTCAAGGGAGACGGGGTGCAGGTAGCCTCACCACAGTGCTGCCTAGACACCAGTCAGAGGCTCAGAAACTTCCCACTGCTCAGTAAACAGCCGGTCCTGATAGCCTGAGTCCAAGAGGTTTCAAGTCGACCCAAGAACCAGCGCTGTCATCCGGGGTGGCAACTGGGGACTGAGTTGATGAATTCTGGACTTGCCTCTCTGGGACATATGCAGAGACAAAAAAATAAAAGGAATATGGACTCCGCCAAAAAAAAATCACCATGCTACTATGAGAAGACCAGTGTCTGCTGCCAACATGCCGTCACAGAAGCAGGTGTGTGGAGACAGCCGGTTGGATAGGGCTCAGATACTAGCCTGTGAGCTCCAGCAATCTCCATCAAAGACTACATAAGGTGGCAGAGGTGATCTCTGAAGACCCAGCTTGCCAAAGCTAAGCATCTTTAAGGAATGTCCTGCTAGCACTGCTGCTTGCAGGGAGCAAGACACCCTCCCTCCACCACTCCCTACCTTTGTCACTCATGCCAAAGCAGCAGACCCATTGATTCCCCCCCCCCCAATTTCAATTCCTCCAACGAAGGGCTAAGAAAATTCAGCAACCCCTTTCTTAAGCAGAGGGGTGGCAAGGACAGCTACCTTGCATTTTATTTTCTATAGAAATAGCATTTATTCTAATGCAGAGCTGAAAGGGACCCCACCCACAGGTTCTGTGGCACCCTGCAAGCACCCTAGAGTCACAGGCTCCGCCTTGGGGAGGAAACCTGGTTTACAAGCAGTTTGGCCACCTTTGTGGTGTTCTGCGTTCTAGACAAAAAAACGTCTGTCTGCTGTACTGTATAGCCTTTAAAATGCAGCCCAGGGATGAGAAACACAGCCTATTTCTATAGCTCTGGAAAGTGCTAGGGGAGAAAAACATCCCTGCCTGCTCATCATGTTGGAGGGATCTACAGAACAGCTTTTCTCCTCCCTAGACTAGGCTGAGTAAGCAGCAATGTATCTTTTTTGTATTCAAAATAAATACATCATACCAAACAAAGATGTAGAAAGAAGTAACACTTTCAAGGAATGCATGGGGGATCTCGCTGGCTGCAAACTGAGAAGAAAGGAACCCTCTAAACGGAAGCAGTCTTAAATCTGCCTCTGGACATTGTCATGCCCAGTTTGGCTATTTCTCAGGTTTGAGCCCTGAGGTCCCTCTCCTGTAGAGAGGGACATTTGTAATGCTAGTCTCATAGGACTTCCTTTTTTGTTTGTTTGTTTGTTTCTCTGCTTTTATTTGGGTTTTGGAAACAATATGTTGATATGTAGCCCAGCTCCCAATCCTCCTGTCTCTGCTCCCCTAGTTCCTGGAGACCTCTCTAAGTTTAGACTGGCTGACCAGGCAAGTCTCTAAAACCTCCTGTTGCCACCCCACTCCTGCCGATGCTACTGCGCTTGGCTTTTTCTGTGGTCGTGGGCATCTGAACTCAGGTCCTCCTGCTTTACAGCAGGTGCTTTACCTACTAAGCCACCTCCCCTGACCCTTCTTACATTTCTTTTTGCCTCACTGAAACATGGGATCACTTCTCCAAGACCTGTCTGATGTCACTGAGAATACAGTGAGCCACCAACTTCAGGACTTGACTCATACCTACCACCTTTTGGCCTTCAGTACTCCAAAGGCTTATCCTTCCAAGAAAAATAGGAAATGGTATCCAGTCAGAAATATGCTCCTTGCTCCCCTCTACAGAAACACTCCTCTTTCCTAGAGCCCTTCAGACGGAAGGTTTGCCTGGTAACCTCTTTACACACGGAGCCTGACTTCTTTTCTAGGATACAATTTCCTTCTATTAAAATTCCAGTGCACCAGAATAGGCCTAGACCCCAAGATCACACCCTAAAATGGGGGTGTGATTGTGAGACAAGGACCCACAGGCTCCTTCTGGAAATCCCATGTCCCTGCTGGAGAAATGAAGGCCAACTGTCCAGCACTGTCCATGCTCAAGCACACACTGCCACCTGCTGGTCCTCTACTGTCACTGCTCATAGTCACAGAGTCCATCCTAGAATGAGGAAGTCAAGTCCCTTCTTTTACTTTAATCCCACAGCCTTGGGACACTCAGAGCTGTATGCTGAGCCTGATGCTTGGATCCCGGGCTTATCTCCTACCACTGAGATGTTCTGTGAGGTTGAACTTATTCGTGCATTTTCTAGAGGAGACTCTGTCCCTCAGTCTCACTTTCTGCAAGTTCCTGTTGGCCATGCTCTCTTCTCTCTGTAAAATATTTGCCCCTCTGTTCTACAAGCTACTATGCTCCACTCTGGGGATCTTCCTCCTTCATGGTGATGATATCTAGCCACGTGCTGACCCCCACCCAGACCACCTACACTGACACTCATTTTAAATACTTAAAACTCCAGGAACTATCAGCCTCTTGGTTCTCCCTGTCTCTTCCATCCACATACCCCTCGGGCTGAGGACATCATGCTTACGACTGCATGGTCCTACAAGGAGTCTGACTCCTCTCTTTGCCAGGAAACAAGACCTAAGGAGAACAACTGGGTGCCTAGAATCCCCAGGAAATGGCATGTGGTGGTCCATTACTCGGGTGGTATGCCAGGAGGAAGCACGAGCAGCCCCTGGGATGTTGTCAAAAGGCTGGTCAGGGAAATGGCCTCAGGGAAGTAAAAGAAAGGGAAGGAAGCCTGGGAGGATATAGACCACCAAAACTCTCCCACTGGTAAGATGGGAGACACCATGCGTGGAAGGCCTCAGTGTCAGGCTTCCGGGAGGTGACAGATGTGTGTCTCTCATACCTGGCATCTGCAGGGCAGGCTCTTCTGATCAGAGGAGGACTTCACACAGGGAAGTCACAGCTTCCTTGTTTGGCCGACAAAGTTGTACAGTGGCTGAGTCATTACGGGTGGACACAGAAAGTCCCAGGCTTTGGATAGCACAGAAGTCCATGGCTACCTCGTGCAACATCCACCACCATCGGGTCAAGCCTGCATTCATACACAAACCAAGTCTGTGCAGCTAGGTAACCCGCCCCCCTCCACATGCATGCACACATGCACACACGGCACCAGTGCCTAACGCCCTCCTCCTATGGCCTCAGACACATTTATTCGGACAGCCTCGGTGCCCACATCAGCATCCCTTTGGTGCAGTGCTCCCAGCTGCAAGCCCAGGTGTTGCACGCAGAGGTGGCCCAGCCTCATGCTCAGATGTTCCCTTCTGCATCCTCTGACACTAGCATGACTGTCCAGAGACTGGATATGAGTAGAACGGCCACAGCCTCATCATCACAGGGAGATCTGTTGTCCTGGGTTCTGTTCTGCTTAGCTACATGGTACTTCCCAAGCCCAAGGTAACTCTCTGAAGCCCAACTAGGCAAGTCTAGTAGGTCTGAGCTTGGAGGCCAGGCATACCTTTGACCACCCAGCTGTGCCGCAGCTGTGTCTGCCCAGCACGTCTCCGAGAAATCCCAAGGTGGCAGCCCTGTTATCACAGCCTCAGCCACCGAACTGCCACACTCTTCAGCTCGACTCCTTGGGTCATAGGGAGGGGCTGTAGGGTAGCACAGTTAGGTTTCTATTGAAAGGGAGAACTTGGCCCTCTGACAGGCTCTAAGCCCCAACCGTCACCCTTTACTCAACTGCAAGAGGTAATGGTTACTTGATGGTTCATGTAACTAAACTGTTCAAGTGATAAATCAGACTCCAGGTATAGCTAGATCCAGGAAATCCAAGCACATGGGTAGGTACACTGTTTCTCTAGACTCTGACCACCAGACTGTCTCCAGTCTCCCATTGGGAAAATGGCAGCAAATGTCTCATGTCTCATGGTTGTTTCCTGACCCAGAATGAAGAGAGATCCTCTCTCTGCCAGAAAGCAAATATCAGATCTCAGAGAAATCTGACTGGCCTGGACAGGACTCTCCCAGAGCCCCTAAGTGGCTGTGGTTGGAAGCAGGGCAAGGGGAGTCTCTGGCCTGAGGACATGTGCCACTCTAGGGAAGGTAAGCCAAATATTCTATCCTAGGATGGGTTTTCCAAAAGAGAGGAAGAGGCAAAGAAGACTGTATACTTGCAGAGCATCAGGCTCTAGCCTATTTCCTCTATCCTACCCATAACCCAACACGCCATGCCAACATACCACACTCTACCCACCTTGGCCTTCTCCATTATACCGTACCTGTCCTGGTTCTACTTACCAACCATCAGTCTCAATGACTGCCAACCAGAGGTAGACGGTGACCACATGGTGATGACAGGTGCCCAGGAAGGTGGCAGGGGATGATTGATGACCAAGGCCCAAGGCTGATGAAGTCAGAATTGGCCTCCAGCTAGAATGGACTCACTGGGCAACATCTTGAATCCATCTCGACTCTTACCTCCAAAGTTTCTCTGTTGGGGAAGTGGGTACTCCATGCCCAGAGAGGCACAGCTCCAATGTCCATCATGCCTAGCTGCAGACTCCATCCTAAAACCATTCTATGAGTTTTGGAAGTACAAGACCCTCACAAGAAATACAGCTACCTCCAGTTATTATACAGGCTTTGCTTCTAAAGAGAAACGTAAGTTTGGGCAGAGGTCTAAGGAATGGATCTGTGACATCACGTAGGGCCTGAGGCCACAGTCCAGAGATTGTCTTCTCCCTCAGGAGGATCTCAATGGAACTCTTGTCTCTCCTCCTTCAAGCCTCTCCCTCCATGGATTGTTCCCAGGTATCTTCCTGAGGCTGTCGGTCTGGGGTCACGGCTGGTTACTGGGACACAGTCCAGCACAGAGCTAAACAGGGGCGAATAGGGCTTTGGAATAGAAAACCTTTAACAGAATAGTTCTAGTCTGACAGAAACAGCCCTTCCCCTGGTGTTATGCATGACAGTTAAGTGCTGAGTCTCAGACCTAGGACAATGTCCAGGCAGTACCTTCAACTGGCTCTCCCACCCTTACAAGCCCAAATTCACAGATTATACAGGAACCTTAGGAGCTGCTGAAAATGAAGGTTCCCCACTCTACTGAGACCAAAGCAGTCCTTGAATATCCCTTGTCCCAACTCCCTACTGATCCCCATTGTTCCCCCAAAGCTAAGCATTTAGACAGCTAGTGGTTTCTCTCTGAGGGTCCAGAAAGTATAACTGGTTCTCTCAACAACAAATACACCAGGCTGCAGCAGGCCAATATAGAGCCAGGCATCAGGCCAGAAAGATGCCATGGAGAAGCAGGACAACATGAAGGGAGACTTCAGGAACCTCACCTGTCATTTCACTCTCCCTGCCAATCACAGCCTCCCTTTGAGAATTAGGAGAGGCCAGTGACTCTTAGGCATGACCAGTTCCAAGTTCTGGGGACTAAGATGTTAGGGAAACATCTGTTGGGGAAAATTACTAACATCATAAGAAATTAAAAGCAAACAGGAGAATCATACGGAAGGGAGGAAACTGAGTCTGCCAATTTGTGAGGTCTGTGCTAGTGGAAAAAGGAGGCCACTCCAGCTTCTCAAGAAACAAATCTACCCACAGCCAAGGAATGAAAAAGCCAGGAGGCCAAACATGGTGCAAATGCATGCATTGGGAGATGGAGACCAGAGAACCAGCTCAAAACCAGACTCAGCTCCATACTGAGTGTGAGGCCAGCTCAGTGACATGAAACCCTGTCTTAAAAAACAAGTGAGAGCTAAGACGCGTTTTACATCATCTTTCCCACATACCCACTTCTCAGCGAAGAGCCTTAGGGTTTCTATTCCTGTGAAAAAACGACATGACCAGAAAGCAAGTTGGGGAGGAAAAGGGTGTATTTGGCTTACACTTCCACATCATAGTCCATCACTGAAGGAAGTCAGGACAGGAACTCAAACGGCAGGATCCGGGAGGAGGCAGGAGCTGATGCAATGGCGGAGGGGTGCTGCTTACTGGCTTGTTCCACATGGCTTGCTTGGTCTGCTTCAGGACCACCAGCCCAAGGATGGTACCACCCACAGTGGGCTGGGCCCTTCCCCCATTCCTCACTAATTGAGAAAATGCCTTGTGGCTGGATCTCATGGCGGCATTTTCTCAGCTGAGGCTCCTTCCTCTCTGATGACTCTAGCCTGTGTCAAGTTGACACACAAAACCAGCCAAGGGATCACGTCCTCCAAGACCCAGAGCCCTGCATATCCCCATCTGGAAGCCTCCCATTCTCAACTACCAAGTTTCATGATATTGGATAAGTGTGACTTTGAATATCAGCTAGACTTGGAATGGTAGAACAAAGAGGGACTCCCCTCCCATCCAAGGATGCTTCCATCCTAACCCCAGAACCTGTGAGCCTGCTGCCTTTTTTGCTGGTGGTCCAGGCTGTCAGGGTGGTGTCAGGTAATATCTAGATTCTTAGTCTTTTAATCCAAAATTGAAACAAGGGTTCACACCAATTAGCAAAAACAAACAAACAAACAAAAAACTGCCAGTAGTAACTCTAACCAGAGGGAACTGACAGTGTAGACTAGAGAGGGACATACTGTCAAGACCTACATGAGTGAGGATGCTCAAAGCTCTGATTACCATTTGGTGCTTCCTTTTATGGCTCCCAGGAGAATGAAGAGTTTGTTACTAAGCTGTGGAGTGAGGGTACTGCTGTTTTGATCGATAGGTTTGGTCACCAAATCATCTTTCTGCTGTCATACCCCTTCCCATAATGCATCTGACTTTCACCATAAACACACTCTGTTATGCATAGGCAGAAGATGGTAAAAATAGGAGATTCTCCCTAAAAGCTTACTCCAGGACACAGTTCTGCCTTATCCTGAATGTACACCCAAAACCAGCTGAGGCCTGATCAGCCTTTCTATTCTTCACACCTAGACACACTGGGAATATATTGCAATAGAAACTGTCTAATTGTTGTTAGGGGAGGCAGGACTTACCCCATTGTTTCAAGGGGTGTGTATACAACCTGACATAGGCGGTGAGCCAAGGTACCTGGTTATAGAGGGGTGTGTGCATACTGTGTGCATGAAGGAGCTAGGCCGCCTTATTAGGAGAGGGAGATACGCCTAACCTTACCCAGAAGAGCCCCAAGTTACTGAACAAGACTGAGCAGCTCACCTTAGAAGTTTGAAAAAGGATTATACAGTGAATCCTAATTGATTCCCACCATCCATGTCTAGCGGCTCACAACCATACGTAACTATAGCTCCAGGGCATCCAAGGTCCTCTTCTGGACTACATGTACACATTTTGGGTACCACACAGTCACACTGGAACATATATAATTCAAAATTATTATTATTATTATTATTATTATTATTATTATTATTATTATTATTATTTTATTTAGGAAGCCAGAGTCCCAGAGGTTGGGAAATACCATCCATTTCTCTCCCTCCAAGAAGCCTAGATCCCACTAGCCTGCTAGCCAGCCTGAGAAATCCTGGAAACAAGAAGCAAGGGGACCTTGCTTAGCAAAGTGTTTTCCAAATTTATTTGGCCACATTCTTAATAAATAAATACACTGAGAAGTGACCCTCCAAATTGTAGTTTGTGAAATCTGACCCAGATGGAAGGAATGAGTGGTCTTAGAGTCAGAACAAGAACACTTTGGCTCTTCAGGGATGCCAACCTCTGCCACACTCTACCAACCACTCAGGAATAGGGAGTGATACCCTGTGTCTAAGAACCAGGCCTTACGCATAACCGTGTGCTACCTGCCCTCTTCTGGCCAGGAGATGTTAGTACTGGTACTTGCTCCATGACCATTGTCCTTACCTGGTCTGCCTAACAGGCAGCAGCCCTTGTGAAAGCTGGCCATGGTTGCTTCAGGCATGATCTCTGAGCTAGAAGGTTTCTGCAAACCCTAGCCACTGCTATAGATGGTCTCCTATCTGCAGTATAGAGGTGCAAGGATGGCAGGCTCTTTCTGAATCATGCACACTATGTTAGGAGACACGGTACGTGAAAAATGTACACATAGGGCTCAGTGGTTAAAAGTACTGGCTGCTCTTTTGGGTTCAATTCCTAGCACCCACATGGCAACCCACAACTGTAACTCCAGTCCCAAAAGATCCAATGCCCTCTTCTAGTCTCCATAGTCACACATGTACATACAGACACATACAAATAAACAAAGAAAAAGAAAATTACATTTAAATTAAAAATGAACACACAAGCCAGACATGGTGCCCTCATGCCTGTAAACCCCAGAAATCAATAGGCTAAGGCAAAAACACTGCTGAGAGTTCAAGGCCATCCTGGCCTATAAAGTATGACTTTGACTCCAAAAAAAAAAAAAAAGAGAGAGAGAGAGAGACATCAGGACTGAGATGTAGAATTTATTTGCCACATAGCAAGAGAAACATCACATCTCTCCCCACACAGGTGCTCTGGTTGAGCAGACAGCAAGCACTAGACTGTTCATTTGCAAATTCTCAAGATGCCCCTATGTCAGGACTGCTGATGCCAAGGTTCCTGCCTTTCTCAAGTTTATGGCTTATGCCTCACTGGACTGCAGGTGCTGATGAACAGTCCCCTTAGGTGCTATCCCTCATACTACAGAAAGGGCCCAAGAATTGGTCCAAACTATTAAGGACCAAGAGCTGGACTCTTGGCCCTCTCTCTGGCCACCAGGCATACCCAGCCCTTACAGAGAGCCAGAGCAGGCCCAGCTGGCACTCATCTGCAGCCCACTGCACTGTTTCTCCAGAGTCCACCTCAGCCAGTCTTCTCCTGAGGCGCTCCGTCCACTCCAGAATGTTAAGAGCAGCCAGGCTTCAAATGCCTTTGTTGGCAAGCCCTGACTGTCCAGCTCCACTAGCCCCGAGGAATGTTCTTTCTTTCTCTTGGTCTCAATTGGTTCAAGCAGCAGCTGCACCTTCAGTACAGTTATGGCCAAGCAAAGCTAAGACAGTTTCTGATCTAATAGAGATGGCTTCATGCTCTGTGGTCCAAGACATCCGCTCAGATGGAAAAACACTTCCAAGGCGTTAAGGCCACTGTGTCCCTCTCCCTGGAGCACAAGCACTCAGTGATTCCAAGGGCACTCTCCTCACATAGGGACAGGAGAAAGTGATGGGGCCTTGGAAGCCCAGCTGGCTGCCTTTGGCCTCACTCAGCACAGGGCAAAGTGTCCAGATCCCAAAAGCCTTTTTTCCTGACACAGAATGACATGAAACTGGCAGCAATCTGGGAAGGACCTTCATCCTCAAGGACACTGGCACCATCCAAAGGCCAGTGCGGGATTCCCCTATAGACACTGAGGTCCAGATGACAAAGGGTAGAGGCTACAGCACCGTCACACCAGGAAACACTGGGCTCATGCCAAATAACAGAGGTGTACAAAGACTAGTGATGTCTATTCTCCTTGAAACTTGCCCAGTAGTGACATATGATGGAATCCACATACTGTTAGCTCTTCTCATGAAGACCTGGTGGGCTGGAGCTCAGAGCAGCAGTGCTGTGGGAAATGGCTCAAGAAGAGGCAACCCAAGTCAGGTGTCTAAATGGTGCCAGCTCTGCCATGCACTGGCTGTGTGACCTTGAAGAGTCCTGTGCCTTTCTGAGCTTCAAATCCTTGCCTGGGATGGAAGCCTGCTCTCCCACCCCACCAGGTGGCCTGATACACAGACCCCAGAACAACACCAGGGACACAGCAAGTATTTTTGACAAAGAGCTTCAGTGTCAGAAAGCTGCCCGGGTGGGGAATGTGTGCTGCAAGGACCTGACAGAAAAAGCCATTTGTCCCATAATGAAAAGACCATTACGAGAATAGATCTGACAAGGTAACAGACTCTCCTGAGAGGAGATTCTTCCGAATGCTCCCGAATGTTACCCAGGCCCTGCTAGGCTGCTCCCGGCACTGTCTCGTAGAGTGCCCCGGTCCTACGGGCCATGCTTCCAATTCTCTGGAGTTAATATTCGGGCCCGGTTTTGTTCAAAGAGTTCTAACATTTTCTCCAAGTTGTGGTTAGCCTCAATCACCTGGAAATAAAACAAACAGGTCATGGCTGCCCTAACCAACTCCATGCCCGCCGGGGAGGCAATAGAGGCTGGGAGGCCAAGAAGGTCAGAACTACACAGCTCCCAGCTCAGGCAGTCTACCCCCTCAGCGGAATTTTCACAAAAGAATCCACCCTATCGTCGATGCCTTTTCTTTTCGCTGGAACTGGACGTCAGGGCTGTGCTGGGGCCACACCCAGGGACTCGATGACTAGACAAGCTCTCTGCCAACTCTGCTACTTCCCAGCCCCTCAGGTTTTCTTTTCACAGAAAAGGAAAAAATAAACTCTGGAAGTCTACTGTGACGTGAAGATGTCTCTTGCCGCCTGCCTGTCATGACCAGAATGTCTATGTGGCCCACAGCCCAAGGCCACAAACAGAAGTTCCTGATCCCCTACTGCATACGTGACAGCCTCAAGTAGTATCTGTCCGCCCAAGGAAATTTAGGAAGAGCCAACTGAACACAAGGCATAAGCAGTGGGACATGCGGACAGGAGGGACACATCAATACACTGCTGTGAGGAAGCACCACAGTCAGGCCAGGAGCTCAGAGGCAGCAGGAGTGTGACACCTGCACACCCCTCAGCACCTCCTGAGGGTGCCACTGTGTGCCAACTAAGGACAGCCACTAATATGCCTCCTCAAGACACTGATGAATGGCTCTGTGCCACCCTCTAAAGGATGGGGACCATCATCACCAAAGGTCCAAACTCAAACCCAGGCCCAGAGCAGCTGAGGTTCTTCTTCACAGCGACGCTGTGTGTGTGACGTGTCACTAAAAGAACTAGCCTTTTCTCAAGTCTGTCCCTCTGAGCCTCTGTGAGTGGGGGCAGTGAGAGAAAGAACTCTTCTCTGGCCTGGGTGACATTCTCTGGGCCTTCCTCCTCATAGAAAAGTCTCCACTCGGGGAGGGCCACTACTTACCAGAACAGGGGCTGCCGCTGGGAAAAGGCTATCATTGACCAGCCACTCCTCGTAGAGGCGGTGAATAGCACTGAGGTATTCCTGTCACGGAAACACAAAGGCTGTGGGAAGCGGGAGGGGAGGGAATACCACCCCCAAGTGTCTCACATGGACAAGGCAGGGCAGAATTGTCAAGGACTATGAGGCAGCGGCGTGAAGAAAGGACCCTGTAACAAGCAACCTGCTGTGGGAACAGCCTGTGAGTTAAATGCTCAGCGCACCCCCAACCACCCACTGTCTTCCCCAGCCAAGCTGAAAAGCACACCTCCCCACCCGGAAGCTCCCACTTCTTGCCACTTCTCCAGCGGGAGCCCAGTTCCTGCCTGTGGGAATGTAGAGCTGTCACTGACGGGTGTCCCAGTGCCGAACAGCCCCTACAGCCTCCCTCTGGCTTGTTACCAGAAAGGTCAAACCTCTCCTCTCACTAAATTCCTCCTGTGGAGCACTCATTGGAGACTGCCCAGGCCGTGAGGCCCACTCCTGTGGAGAGCCTGACTGGGGCAGCACAAGGGAAAGGAGAGAGATGCCCCCACACCACTGTTACTTCCATGCTGGGAAGGCCTGCCCACCTGCACACTCAGGCTCTCAGCCAGTGTATGCTGGCTGCCCAGGCACCTTCTCCAGCAACTTTTGCCCTCCATCCCAGAAGCTGGCTCACAAACCATGCTGCTGCCCTCTTAACCCACCACTGGACTCCCCCTGGGTACTAGGAGCCAAGCTTGTCCTAAAGACCTTGTCAAAATCATTAGGCCAACCCCTTGGATAATGGCTTAGAAGGACTCCAGACAGGGCATTTCTTGGGAACATCTGAGTCATTGAATAGAGCACAGAAATGCCAAGCCCCACCACAGCACAGCTGCCTAAGCTCCACAGTGCTCTCTCCTCTACCACCATCTCCGAGGTTTCAAAGGAAATGCTCAGAGCAAGGCTGGGCCTTCATGGCTGGGATGTGCCTTGCAGTCCAAACCAAAACTTGGCTGGGCTGGGCTTTAGGGACCAGACAGGCCTTTCAGATCTCCTAGCCCATCTTGAGCATCCACAGCAGCATGATGTCTCAAAAGAGCTTGCTAAGCCCTTGTCTATCCTTCAAGGACAACTGTGCACATAAGGAACTCAGTCCAATATTAACTGAGCAACAGCGGTGCCAGGCCCTGGGTCACATGTTGAAGACAGGAAATAAAACCAAATTTAGAAGTGCTCACAGTGTAAAGAGAATTGGAAGCAAACACTGTGCTGTCCTGAGGGCTATCACTATAGGAGGCCTAGGGGCAAGAGAAGGGCAGTATAAGGAAGGTCAGGGACATGACATCACAGCTGAGACACAGAAACTACTCTACAAAGACAAATTTGTGTAAATCCATGGTGTGTGCGTTCACATGTGCGTGCGTGCATGCATGCAGGCGTGCGTGCGTGCATGCAGGCGTTCGTGCCTGTGTGTGTGTGTGTGTGTGTGCACACGACACTCGTGTACATACATGGAAGTGCAGAAGCCTGAGTCAGGAACCACAGGAAGTGAAACAGCCCTGGTACCTATAAGGGCTCCAAAGCTATAGAGGAAACCAGAGTTGGCCCTCAGTTGTACTTCCTGTTTTTCTGCTACAGATAACCTTGATGATGTCAGGGTGGGTGAGGAGGGGAGGGCTAGCAGGATGAGGTGGAGGTGGCTCTGGCCTCTTACCATTGGAATGACTTTCTCCTCTTCCCTGCACCTCATCTTTAATCTCTGGTAGCAGATCTCAGGAGTGGTTCGAAGATACACTGAGATTTAAAAACACAAGTGGCTCTGGCTGCTGTGCTCCTGGTGTGGGAGCACAGACAAGGACAACACATGGGCTGGGGTGGAGAGGAACTACCTGAGTCATGCAGGAGCCTCACCAAGCCTGCTCAGTCTCCCACCAGTCCCTGTGTAAGCAACAGGCGCCCTGATCCCCTTTTCCTGTCTTCAGCCCTGGAGTATCACCATGAAGCTTTAAGGGATTCCATTCCTAGAGAGGGTCTGGCAAGCCATCAGCTTCAGCCACTGTCCAATTTCTGTCTCCGCGCCCTCCCTCCAACACAGATAAGCCAGCAGATCAGAACAGATGGGGGCAGGGGGCTGGAAGTAGTTGACTCAGGGGTAAGAAGCTTAAAGAAACAAGACCAGACTTCCTTCACAGAGAGAAGAAGCCCTTAAATTTCTGCCTGTCTTTGGGGTCCTATGATAGTGAAGGAATCATGGGTAGTAGGTATCCCTGCAAGGTGGAACCTCACAAGTATATCCCAGCTGTGTCCCGGGGAGGCTCCAGGTAGGAGCCATGCAGAGACTGTCTTACCTATCAGATCAACGGACACATCTATGTTCCTGATGATCCAGTCAAACCACTCAGACAGAATCACATAGTCAACCTCGGGCATCTTCCCACTGCAATGAGAGTTCAAAGGTTTTTATTTACCCATGTGCTGTGTCATTTCCCCAAAGGACTGACAGGTAGCTTCTGTTTGGAAGGGCACCGCCAAGAGCACATCATATAGGGCAGTCCACAAATGATGGATGGCCATGTCGTACTGCCAGGATCCTGTGCATCTATCTGACCTGCCACCACCAGGGAATAGGGCCTGGCCATGGCACTGACTGATGGCGACTGCTTCTGGAATGGAGACAAAGGCTATAGTCTGTCGTCCAAGCACAGAGACAACATTCACATTGGGAGTAGATTAGCGAATCATTTTCACACCTAGAGCTCTTCTTCTATAAAAATATTCAGGGATGCTTGCCATGCACTGTTCGGCATGAGGATAAGTGAAGTCCTGGTCAGTCTCTGAAGCAGTAAAGCCCATGGTGGCCGAAGGATGGTGCAGTGAAGTCAAATGCAGACAGGGCAGAGGCTCTGAACTTGCTGCTCAACGAACACAGGTTAACCCTATGCACGTGGCCCAAGCACATAAAACCCAGATGTCCACACATTTGAAACGACTAGGAAGAAATGCACCAGTGTCCACAGTGCTGTTCTCTGAGCTGCAGAACTACTCAAAGATAGCTGTAGGATGTCTTATCCTTTGCTCTTTACTTTTCAAACTTGAACAATGTACTAGTGCTCAAAACAAGAGTGGGAAGAGAGGCATTGTTACATATTTTAAATGTTAAAACTTAAAAAGCAACGCTGGGAAGATGGCTCAGTAAATAAGATTGCCTGTTCTGCAAGTATGAGTGTTTGAGATCAACTTTCCATAGGAAAGGAAAAAATAGAAATAAAAAGCCAGGCATGCCCTGTGTGCCTATAAACCCAGCCCTGGGGTACTGGGACAGAGTTCCGTGACCAGCCAGTGTAGACAAAAATCAAGCTTTGGATTAGTCAAAGACCCTATCTCAAGAGAATAAGACAAAAGTGACAGAGCAGGACTCAATGTCCTCATCTGACCTCCACATGTACATATAATGAATGTGTGCACATACACACATACATACACACAAGGAACACAAGGGGAAACAAAGAGCTCAGGGACAGAGGAGACCTGGTTTCCCTCTGGCATTCTTGGGGCATCCTCTGCCCAGAGAGGTCACCAAGAAAGAAAGACAAGAGTGGTCACAGCTGGAAGGCAAAGCCAGAAAATAATCAGGGCGCCTGCAGGCCCAGGAAGTCTTCCTTCTCTTGGAGCAACCTCTTCCTCCATCACCTTGTGGGACCCACCCAGCCTGGGTATGACCAGGTTGGCTGCAAAGAGAATAGGTATCCAGGCTGTGTGCTAGAAGGGGATGGTCTTGACAGAAGGGAGGCAGAACTGGGGGGTGGGGAGGGGTGATTAAAAATGGAAAAGCTTCTTAGGCCTGGGCTGTCTAGATCAGGGTCCAAGAAGCCCTGTGTTGGAAACCAGACACAGGGCCCACCAGCCTGGAGAAGAACACTCTCCCATGTCCCTGAGACCACCAGGATGCCTTCTGCAGAGCAGATGGAGCCTAAGAAAACAGCAGGACTATTCGGTGCCCATGAGAACAGCAGGGCAGGTCACCAGCAGTCCTCAACAAGGAAACCAAAGAAGGTGGTTTTCTAGCAAATCTCAAGTAACTGGGAAGGTAGGAGGCAGGACTCCTATGCCACTTATCATGACTATTCTTGGTTGTCAACTTGACTATATTTGGAATTAATTAAAGCCCAAATGGCTGGGGACATTAATTAAATGATTAATTAAATCATTTGAAGTGAGAAGACCCACCTTTAATCTTGGCCTTCCCTTCTGCTGGCAGCCTATATAAATGACATGGAACAAGGCGGCGTTTGCTCTTTGCTTGCTTGTTCTTACTCTCTGGGGAAGTCCATTCCTTCACTAGCATTAGAGCCTACTTCTTAGGGATTCCTGTGTATACTGAAGAGCCGCTGAGACATCCAGTCTTGTGAACTGAACTACTGTATTCTTGGATTTTCCACTGGCAGACAGTCACTGTTGGATTAGGTGACTTACCACAGCCTGTAAGTCATTCTAGTAAATTCAGTGTGTGTGTGTGTGTGTGTGTGTGTGTGTGTGTGTGTGTGTGTAGATGAATAGGAGTTCCATTCCTCTACAGAACTCTGACTAATACACACTGCAGTGTGTACTCTAGTGAATTAAATACAAGCACCAGGGTAATAAAGTAAAGCCTGTTCCCAAGAGCAGGTGAGGTGTGAGAACTGGCTGTCTTTGGCCAGTGCCACCCCTTCTGTAGTAGCCCATGATTTATTCAAGGCCATCCCACAGGCTCTAGTGCTTCAAAGAAAGCTGGCCCCACCCACTTTAGGAAGACCCAGTGGGTATACTGGAATAAAGTCCTCATTTTCCCCAAGTTGGGTGATGGGTTCTGGAAACCAAGCTGAGCCAACACAGTGCAAGGTCCCAAACTGGACCAGCGAGGCAAGAGTCTGGTAGGGGAATAGTTCCATAACTGTTCTGTCACCGTGATGGGATCATAATGAGAAAAGGAATAAGACAGAGTGGGAAATGCAGAGAAGCAGAGCCAGAGTGTGCTAGCTAATTTTATCTCCACTTGACACAAACTAGAGCTATCTGAAAGGAGGGAGCCCCAATTGAGAAAATGTCTCCATAAGATCCAGCTGTAGGGCATCTTCTTAATTAATGAATAATTGGGGAGGACCCAGACCATCATGGATGGGGCCACCCCTGGGCTGGTGGTCCTGGGTTCTGAAAGCAGGCTGAGCAAGCCATGATGAACAAGCCAGTAAGCAGCACCCTTCTATGGCTCTGCATCAGCTCCTGCCTCCAGGTTCCTGCCCTGCTTGAGTTCCTGACTGCTCTCACTGCTTCTGATGATGAACTGTTTTATGGAACTGTGCGTGAAATAAGCCCTTTCTTCTCCAAGATGCTTTTGGTCATGGTATTTCATCAGAGCAATAGTGACCCAAACCAAATCACAGTGAGACCAAATAAACTCATTAACTGGACCAGTGACAGTTTCACAGCTCACCATACATTGCACCAGGTTTCCGTTTAGTTCGGCTGAAAGTACCTGATGCTCAAGAAACCAAATCACAGGCTGGTTGTGGCACCTACCTGTAATCCTAGCACTAAGGAGGCTGAGACAGGAGGATCTCATGGTTAACACAAACCTGGGCTTGTGTAAAATATTCTTAGTTCAGACTACCCCAGGCTACATAATGAGACATGTCAAACAAATTAAGACAGAAACCTGATACTTAAATACACTGTTTCCTGTTGAGGCCAGCTCCAGCCCTCAGTTACAGATGAGAATAATATGAAGGTTCAGGGCCAGGCCTCACCATCAGTCCCACCTGCTCTCCACTGCATTAGCTGTCTTCCCTGCTCTGACAACTGTGGGGCTAACCTGGATCAGTGTGTTTCTGGGCCAGGCAGGGGAGATGGGAGGACCCGCCTGCTGTTCCCATGTGCTGGGTGCATCCATGCCATGATCCCAGCTGGGCCCACTCCATTCCTCTACTCCTGTTCTTACGAAAGGAGGACCAGGCAGTCTTGTAAAAACCTTTGAAGTCAATTCTCAACCCACCGGGCTTACTACACAACTGGTCATGTGGCTCTTTAGACATGACTCTTCCACACCACCTTCAGCTTTGCATTGCAGCCCAGTGCTGGCAGCTCAGAAGTTCCTGTTTCTGAGAACAGCAGGAAACGCAAATCTTCCTCTTCAGCAATTTACCCAAAGCTCTCAAGACTGCTGCTGGCATAATTGCACTCATTCTGCCTCCCACCTCACCGGAAGAAGTGGGCTTCTCCTTTGGGCTGCTCTTTACTTGTTCAAGGCCCCAAAGGCAGGAACACTCTGAGAAATTATGCTTTGAGGAGATGGAGAACTCCAATGTGTGTCTGTGGGCTTTTCTAGAAACCCAAGCCTTCAATTACAGATTGCAAAGCCTGGCTCCCACCTCCAGATCCTCAGCAAAGGTTCCAAGGATCCCTGGGAAAAAGATCAACCCAGCACTGACAGGTCAGGAATGACTACACAGACCCCTGACTATGAAAGGGCTCTCTACCACCACACATTAGCAAGCCTTTCCCTTTGATATCTCAGGAAGTGGGGAAACACGAGCTTCAGTGACCCATACATACCAGTACCCAGCTGAGCTCCCACAGGTAAGAACCAAGACATTTTGGTCCAAGCACAACCTAAGGGCACCGTCAAACCTAGTTCTACGTTACATGTGGGACAGGTTGACAGTTCATAGACATGTTGGTTGTAACTGTACTTTATCCATCATGAATCCAGCATGTATTCCAAGCCCTAAAGAGCAAGTAGAGATATTCAGAGAGTCATCCAGGGTGATGTATGCTTGTCACTGATGCCCAAACTGCTTCTTAACGGACACAGACATGCTGACAGTTTTTTGTTTATTCAGTGGTAAATTTCCTGGTTTTGATTGTTTGTTTGTTTTTGATACTGGGTTTCTCTGTGTAGCCCTGGATGTCCTGGAACTCTGTAGACCAGGCTAGCCTCAAACTCAAGAGATCGACCTGCCTCTGCCTCCTGAGTCCTGGGATTAAAGGCAACTGTTCCACAACTTCCAGTAAACTGAACAATTTTTTTTTTTTTAAAGAAAAGCCAGGTGCTACCCAATTTCCTGGCTGAACAAATAAATCTCTCTTCCTACTTTAGGGTACTGGGATCCATCCTCCTGTCTTGCTATCACCCAAGACACACTTCTGTCCACAAGTCCCAAATAAACTGCACTTTTCACAGTCTTGGATCTATCTGCCTCTTTGTTTGGGTTTGTCAGCGCCATGCCTTCAGTGACTGCTTCTCAGACAGCAAGATGAGATGGGACTGCAGGCAGAAGAGGCAGAGAGCTCTAAACTATCTCCTCTCTGTACAGCCCCCACTGTGACAGCCTGGTGCACTGGGCATGCTGGAGTTGTTTGGACAGTGATCGTACAGGAACACCAAGTTCTCTCCTTCCTCCCTTTGGCCCTCTGAAGCTCTGATCAAAACCACATTTCACTGTCAAAACAGAAAGTGTTTGGCTGACAGCTGCTCAACTCTAGGCCTGAAAATAAATCTGGAAACCTGTACCACAAAGACACTATAAAACTCCAACCAGCAAAATCAGAGGCAACACATGTGAAACGGAAACCACAGGCTGGGTGCAGGAAAGAAGAAATGTTGTACCATAAACCCTCAGTCCTGAGGACAACCTTCAGAACTCAATCTTGTTCCCATGAGAGAAGGCCTACTCCCCAGGAAAAGGGCAAATGTGGGGATGGAGCACTCCCTGTGGTACATGGTGGCTAGCCTCTGCTGGACCTCATGTTCCTCAGCCAGAGGTGTCTGAAAAACACTGAAGAGTCCTGGGCCCCTCCCACCAGTACTAAGGAGACTTGTGTGTCTATGGAACACCCAGGTAGGTGATGGAGAGAGAGGCACAAGTGAGTTCGGTGTGGAAAGAGTCAGGGGCTTCAGTGGTGCCTGTGGTTTGCCATTTCGAATAAGGAATGCCTCTCACCATTCCTCACCCCTTGCTTGCCCCATGTAGCAGGGTGCAACCATCATCCCTTATTTTGAACTGTTTCTTGCACCTCTCGAATGGAGCTGGCTTTGCAGTCCCTTCTTAGTTCCTCCCTTGCCAAATAGAGCCTACAATCAATGGAGCTCAATGGTGGTAACATGACAGAAAACACAGATTTCTACAATAAAAGATGATCCTCAGAAGAAATGTGCAGACCGAAGGCAGGGCTGGGTGGCTAAGCTGGGGAGGCAGCACCCATGAGGGCTTTCCACTGCCCTTTCCCATACTCCTGTACCTTGAGGCAAGGTCTTACCCTCAGGGTGCCCCAGTGCTCCAACAGCCTCTACCCATGGCCACATGTGGGCCAACAGTCTTTGGCTTCTCAAAGGTCTCCAGGCTACAGTAAGGTCTTCAGGAAATCCTGCTCCTGACACCTATACAACCTCAAAACAATTAGATCCCAAGGACAGAAACAAAGACACTAAACTGCTGTGTTTCATGGTCTCACAGAAATCCAAACCACAGGTGCCAGGGAGGCACAACTGTGGAATTACCAGCACAGGGAAAGAGCTGGAAAAGGAATACAGAAAAAGGAGTGGGGCTACATTCTCCTCCTGTGCCACCCACAAACAGCCCAGAGTAGGGCCAAAGGAAGCTCAGAGCTGCCCTATTGAGCCTAATGAGGAAATGCAGTAAGGACCTGGGGAAGTAGACTCACCTGGCACAGCCTACCATGAGGAATGGAGATACCAATAGATTTTATACTCTCCCCTTCAGCTCTGGTCATTCCACTCCAGGTTACCAACTCACAAGCCAGCCCAACAAACAGCCATCAGAGGAGATAGGCAGCCACTCTCTCTCAGGTTCACAGGAAATACCCCACACCTAGTCCTCTGTCTAGATCCCTCTCCTCAGAAAAACAAGCAGCATGGGACATCCATTCTGTGCTCTGCCACTGCCCCCACCTCTTGCTGAGGTGCTGGGGGACAGGGAGCAGTGGAGAAGGGCTGGAGGAACCAAACAGTGGATTCTTATGCCCTCTGGAAACCAAGTAACAGGAGAGAAGGAATCTTCAGGAATGCCACCTGTGGAAGGTAAGCTGAAGCCCACAAGGAAGGTCTACGGTCAGAGGACAAAGCAACTTCAGAGACCTCTTCTAGCTGTCTGCCCCTGCACACAAAACATGGGCCTGACTCAGGGTGGCCAGGGAACAGAGGATCTCATTCAGGAAGTCCTGCAGACTCAAGAGCCCAATGCATAGCAGCTCAGAACAAGTAGGAACGTGCCCTATCCACCTCAAAAGGAGAGGTTTGAAAGAGAGAGAGGGCACTGAGGAACAAGTTGGCTAGAGGCTAAAACCATCAAACCAACTTCGACAAGCACTAAGCAGGAGCTCTGTGCTTTTTCTGCTCAGGGTGGTAAAACAGAGACTGTCTCTGCCTTCAGAGCACATGATCCAGCTGGGAACAAGTAAAAAGCAATTAAATAATCATGTTAAGATGGACCAGCTGAAACTGCCACTTTCACATATTAAAATTAGCCAAATGTTGCCAATGTAAATGTCTTAAATACTACAAAGAGAGTCACTTACTAAAAGCAACAAGGAGAGGGCTAGAGATGTAGCTTAGTGGTAAAGTATTTGTCCGGCACATAAAAGGACCTGAGTTTGAGCCACAGCACCACACAAAGAGCAAGACCAAGGAGGCTCTATGTATGTACACAAGATAATCTGGGAGCTGGAGAGACAGCTCAGCACTTAGAAGTAATTGTTCTTGCAGAGGACAGGTTTTGATTCCCAGTGCCCACAAGGAAGTTTACAGCTGTCCATAGCTCTAGTCTGAGGGGATCAGATGCCTTGTTCTGACCTCCATGGGCACCAGGCACAAACATGCATGCAAGCAAGACACACACACACACACACACACACAAATGAATCTTGAGAGAGAGAGAAGGGCTCGGACAGCTGTGGAGAGCCAGGAACATCCTGAACAACCATCAGGACCAGCTCTCCAAGCTGACCTCTGTGAACACTGAATGCACATAGTATACATACATACATATACACAAAACAAAACAAAAACACTCACACACATAAAATTAAATAAATCTTAATAAAAAAAATTTAAGTAATGGTCTGGAGAGATGGCTCAGAGGTTAAGAGCACTGAGTGGGCTCCTTCTCCAAAGGTCCTGAGTTCAATTCCCAGCAACCACATGATGGCTCACAACCATCTATAATGAGATCTGGTGTCCCCCTTCTGGCGTGCAGGCAGAACACTGTATACATAATAAATAAATAAATCTAGAAAAAAGAATTTAAGTCATAATGGATAGTTCTGAGAATCAACATCCAAGGCTGTCCTTTGGCCTCCACATGCCTGCACACACACACTCACACAAACAAAATGAGTGTTTAATAAATGATGGACTAGACAAACTACAGTACCTTCTATACAGGTTTTCTACAAAAATGTATCTTGCGCTGTAAATTGACCTTTCCATCAACCGTACAGGTGACATCTAAAAGAATGGAAAAAGTGATTTACTCTCAGGTGAAGATGAGGAAGGGACAGGAAGCCTTGAAAACTTGCCACACCCCTCTCACACGTCCCTTCCATCTTTGCTGAACATCAGACTGTAAGGAGAGGACAACAGGATGGCGGAAGCCAAATCTACCATGAGGCTCACAGTGCATCTCCCTCCACCCTGACATGACCCATCCTGAAGTTTCAAAGACAAAGCACAGTGAAGGCAGCAGTGTGAAGACCCAGGGTCTTTCATAGAAGAAGGGAGACTCAACTAGGATATGAAACATGCTGGCAAAGCTGACAAGCACTGTCCGATTGGTGTGGTTTGCTGAGTGGAGCCTTGGGTTGGGGAAATCACTTGAGGACCTGGGCGTCTGAAGCAGAACCCCAGAAGGCTAGGGTTGAGGAGGCATTCTGGAGGCTCTGCCTCTGAAATCGGGATGCTCTCTTCTCACTGGGGAAGGGGCTGGCTGGACATCACCTTTCTGCAAGTGATGTCACCCTCCATGGATCACCTTTTCCTTCATCTACAACACACTTTTGGGAAGCAGGAGGAGCTTGCCCACCTGACACCTAGTGAACAAAACCGTGTGGCCCACAGTAGCTGCAGGCATATTCAAACCTACAACCCACTCTCTCTGATTACCTATCTGCCCTCCTGGATCTCTGGGCAACCATCTTTCCTTCTGTCCCTTCTGTATATACTGTTCCGCTCTTTCTATGCCCATCTTTTCCTGGCTCCCTCTTCAGCCATCTCTTTCCTGCTCAATCCAATCAGCTCTTTCTCTGCCTCCTTAGCAGATTTCAGCCAGCATCCTATAATATTCACATATCATAGCATATCGTTAGATATAATTTAGAGTGCAAAGCAGAGCAAACCAAGGAGGAAGATGATAACTTGTAGGTTTTCTGCTCTCTGTCATTTATGGAAACATTTGGAAAAAAAGAAATTCATATATATCTGCAGAATCTATTCATGTCTGTCAATTTGAAAAGATACAGACTTATGTCAACAGAAGAATGATACCTACATCTATAGGTTATAACCAGCCTTAACCAGACTTGGACCAAACTCCTTGGCCTAATGACTGTGCCAATGCCAACAGCTATAGCCATGTCCTGTCTTTCCTACATGGAAAGGCTCTAGCTGTGTATAAAGCTCTGCCCATAGATAGCAACTATGATCACCCTTGCCATCTTATCTTCTAAGGCAATCTGCCCCTGCTGATGGGAGGGTCTAAGTAGCTCTGTGTGTCCTGTCCTGCCCCAATATCTGGTGAACCACTACTAGATTTGTGACCCAAGGTAAATCAGATTCTCTCAAGAATCTGAAAGCCAGACCCCACGAAGGTATGATCAGCAGCTCTCAGACACACAGATACACAGAATATGAACCCAGGATCCCTGAACAGCTCTATAATGCACAGACCGCCAGACCTCAGCTCTAGACTTTCTGACTCAGTAGCTCAGGGGAGGGGCCAGGAAATGTACAATTCTAACAAGTCCCCAGGTGGCAGTGCTGCTGCAGGGAGCACACACTGTGTTAAATGACAGTAAGCCCATCAGTGCTCAGACTGCAAAGACATGAGCTCAGGGTGGCACCAGGACAGGACATTGTGCTGTAGTCATCGAAGACTGCACAGCATGAATGTCCAAAGGGACTTCCTCGTGGGACTTCCCTATGTGATAACACCTGAATTTGAAGGATGTTCTGTTTGACAGGGTTGAAAGCGAGATCTGAACTGTACCTGAGGGCGAGTGTGCTGGTCCAGCATAGTGAGTTGCACGTAAGTCTGTAGTGTGAGGCCCCATCGACTGGCATCCTGGTACATCAGACCCTGCAGAACAAAAAACAAAGCACTTCGTGTCCAAGTGTAAAGTGCAGGACCTAGGTCTACCAGTCCCTGAAAGCCATCTCAGGTCACATGAGGAGGGCTAGGGCAAGAGGTAGACTCCAGACAACTGCAGGGCTCTCAGAATAGGGTGGACAGAGACAGATGTGAATGCAATTATAGGAGATCCCCTACTGCCAGATATGTGCCCCTGAGAAACAAGCACTCAGACATTCGTAGTTGGCTTTGAGTTTCCCTGTGGTCTGTTCTCTATTCAGCAGCCAAAGTGAGCCTGCTAATGTCTTCCCCTGCTCCAAACCTTCTAGGCACTCTGCACTGCATTCAAATTAAAGCAATCCTGGTCTACAGGCCCTAGAAATCAACTGTCATCCTCTCATCTCTTACCCTTCTTCTCTGGCCAATCAGCTTCTAGCCACACAAGCTTCCTCAGTGTTCTGCAAACATGTAAAGCAGGACCCCATCTCCGGGGCCTTTGCAGCTGCCTCTTTATTCCTCCTCCAGATGCTAGTAGTGCTCCCTCCCTCCCCCATGTGTGGGTCTCAGCCCAACCAGCACTTTATCAGAGATGCAGTCTCCAACATAACCTACATAAAACAGGGGCCAGCCCTCAGCTGCTCTATCACCTGCAGATAAAAACACTTCCTGCTCCAGTCTGCTCACTAGTAATCTCTCATTTCTTTCTCTACACTGTGTATGTGTTGGGGGTGGGGGTGGAGAGAAGACAGACGACCAGGTCTTATCATACAGCAAGGATGGTCAGGAACTCGGAATTTTCCTGCCTCAACTTTAAAGAGCACTGAGATTACAAGCACGTGATGCTTTGCCCAGCTACTTTTTCTTTTTTTTTTTTTAATTTTTTATTTATTTTTATATTAATCACAGGTTATTTACTTTGTATCCCAGCCATAGCCCCTTCCCTCATTCCCTCCCAATCCCACCCTCCCTCCCTCATCTCCTCCCTGCCCCTTTCCAAGTCCCCTGATAGGGGAGGACCTCCACCCCTTCCATCTGACCCTAGCTTATCAGGTCTCTTCAGGACTGGCTGCAATGTCCTCTTCTGTAGCCTAGACAGGCTGCTCCTCCCTTCGGGGGGTGGGAGTTGAAGAGCTCACCATTGAGTTCATGTCAGAAATAGTCCCTGTTCCCCTTACTAGAGAACCCACTTGGATACTGAGCTACCATGGGCTATATCCGGGCAGGGGTTCTAGGTTATATCTATACATGGTCCTTGGCTGGAGAAACAGTCTCATGAAAGACCCCTGTGCCCTGATATATTTGGTCCTTGTGGAGCTCCTGTCCTCTCCAGGTCTTACTAACTCCCCCTTCTTTCATATGATTCCCTTCTCTCTGCCGAAGGTTTGGTTATGAGTCTTAATATCTGCTTTTGTACACTGCTAGGTAGAGTCTTTCAGAGGCCCTCTGTGGTAGGCTCCTGTCCTGTTACTTGTTTTCTCCTACCTCCAATGTCTATCCCATTTGTCTTTCTAAGTAAGGATTGGTCATCTTACCCCGAGTCCTCTTTCTTGTTTGTCTTCTTTAGGTATATAGATTTCAGTATATTTATCCTATCTTATAGGTCTATATAAGTGAGTATATACCATGTATGTCTTTCTGCTTTTGGGATACCTCACTCAGGATGATCATTTCTAGGTCCCACCATTTGCCTGCAAATTTCATGATTTCCTTGTTTTTAATTGCCGAGTAGTATTCCATTGTGTAAAAGTACCACAATTTCTGTATCCATTCCTCAACTGAGGGACATCTGGGTTGTTTCCAGGTTCTGGCTATTACGAATAAAGCTGCTACAAACATGGTTGAGCAAATATCCTTGTTGTGTACTTGAGCATCTTTTGGATATATGCCTAGGAGTGGTATAGCTGGATCTTGAGGAAGCACTATTCCTAATTGCCTGAGAAAGCGCCAGATTGATTTCCAGAGTGGTTGTACAAATTTGCATTCCCACCAGCAGTGGAGGAGGGTTCCCCTTTCTCCACAACCTCTCCAGCATGTGTTATCCCTTGAGTTTTTGATTTTAGCCATTCTGATGGGTATAAGGTGAAATCTCAGGGTCGTTTTGATTTGCATCTCCCTGATGGCTAAGGACACTGAGCATTTCTTTAAGTGTTTTTCTGCCATTCTATAATCCTCTACAGAGGGTTCTCTGTTTAACTCCGTGCCCCATTTTTTAATTGGATTTCTTGATTTGTTGCTTTTTAACTTCTTGAGTTCTTTATATATACTGGATATTAGCCCTTTGTCAGATATAGGGTTGGTGAAGATCCTTTCCCAGTCTGTAGGCTGTCATTTTGTTTTGATGACAGTGTCTGTTGCTTTACAGAAGCTTTTCAGTTTCATGAGGTCCCATTTATTTATTGTTGATCTTAGAGCCTGTGCTGATGGTGTTCTGTTCAGGAAGTAGTCTCCTGTGCCAATGAGTTCTAGGGTCTTCCCCATTTTTTCTTCTAATCGATTTAATGTGTCTAGTTTTATGTTGAGGTCTTTGATCTACTTGGATTTTAGTTTTGTGCAGGGTGATAAATATGGACCTATTTTCATTTTTCTGCATATAGACATCCAGTTGGACCAGCACCATTTGTTGAAGATGCTGTCTTTTTTCCATTGAATGGTTTTGGCTTCTTTGTCAAAAATCAAGTATTCATAGATGTGTGGATTTATATCTGGGTCTTCTATTCAGTTCCATTGATCCTCCTTTCTGTTTCTATGCCAATACCATGCAGTTTTTATTACTATTGCTCTGTAGTACAGCTTGAGATCAGGAATGGAGATACCTCCAGATGATCTGTTGTTATACAGGATCATTTTGGAAATTCTGGGTTTTTTGTTTCTCCATATGAAGTTGAGAATTTTTCTTTCAAGGTCTGTAAAGAATTGGGTTGGTATTTTGATGAGAATTGCACTGAATCTGTAGATTGCTTTTGGCAGAATGTTTGCCCAGCTTCTTTTCTGCATTTTTGTTTTTGTTTTTTTTAACTCTTGGTATAAACTAATGACACCAGGAGATAAGGCACTGAGATAAAGACTTTCTTAATTATGGGTAAAAGAAAATCTTAGCAAATCAGAACCTGGATGACTGCAGAAACAGGTAATTTCCTACATCAGAGAACCAGTATGGTGAGCCAATCATTGTCACACAAGCGTCAGTCCTGCTCTTTGAACCAACAGAAAGTTGTGGAAATATAGATGATGATGATGGCACTCATAATGCAACCTTCTGAGACTGTACTTCTGGTCTGTGAAGTGTCTCCTCTAGTCCCTGACATCTGAAACTACAGTTGTCTCATTTGATAATCAAGTCCTAGTCCCTCTCTGGCTTCTCGAAAGTATGACTGTCAATGGGTTTTCCCTGTTACACCCAAAGATGGCCAACAGTCCACTTTCCACCCGCCCACATGTCACAGCTGTGTGATTCTTACTTACAGACCATGAGCTTTGTCTTATCTAACTAGCATCCTGTTACCTGCTGTCACCCTTCTTACAGTTCTCTTCACCAGCCACCACATTCTTACATCTGTCTCCTAACTGCATATAGGGCAAGGGGACCAGAGACTTCATTTAAACTGCTCAGTGTCCTAGCATACAGGGTAGTGACTGCCACACAGAAAGCATATGACAGTCCCTGAGTGAATAAGCCATGCAGATACGGAAGGCAGGGCCATGCAGCTATGTTCCAGCAAACAGCGAGCACAGCAGACACAGGCGCTGCCTGCTGTGGACCTGAGTCTAATGAACTCCATGAGGTATTGCCAAAGTATTGTGAGGCACTGCTAAAACTACATGGCCAGTGTTGTTAGCCGAGAAATACCAAGCACCCCATGCCATGGCATTGGAGCCCAGAACCAAGATCCCTTTCTTCACCCCCTCTGGTAGTACCTGCTTTCTGGCCATCTTTTTAAGCAGGCAGCACAAAGTTTCCTGAGTGTAGAAGGGAGAAGAGGCGCATGTACATTATGGCCCACCTTGAGAAGGAGGGCAGGCGGCTTCAGGGTAAAGTACAGGGATCCATGACAATGTGAAGATAATGTGAAGCTCAAACCCAAGTCACAGGCCTACCTAGATACCTGGAACTAGGTCCAGGGAAAGCTAAGCCACTTGGAATGTTAGAGACAGCTGATAGGAGTACCCTGGGCTTCAGGGACACTCACCCAGGCCTCAGAGATCCCTGAGTCATCGTTCTCCTTTTCTTCAAACTAGATAACAGTGGGACAAAGAGTGGGTGTGCTAGGCTCAGGTTTCAGTACTGCCATTCCTAGGAACTCACAGGGAAGCTGGCAGTTTGTGCAAAAGAGGAACCACTCACCAGAGGATTATGGCCACGCACGTTTCTCCACTTGAGCACAGGCTCCATTAACACCTGGAAGGAAAGAAAACATGTTGCAGCAGTGTGCCAAGTTTGGAATACAGACAGACAGGCATTTCTGACTGGGTACCAAGAGTGGGCCACACCCCCTCCGAAACGCCACCCTTTTAGGTGGAGAAATCATTCCTGTGACTTCCAGACATGACCTTTAAATAACTAAGAAGCAGCTCAGTCTAAAGGGGCATTGGCTCCTCATAGCTTGGAAACAAACAAGGGTGGCTTCCCTGAGGTTTCACAGCCTGAGCTGACCTGGCCCAGAAACACACTACTGTATAGGTCAGGGCTCTCTAGAGGAGCAGATCCAATTACATGAACATAGAAACTGACATACAAGAGGGACTTTGTTAGCAAAATTGGCTCGTGCGATGAGGGAGGCTAAGAACTCTGTCTCGTGACAGGTTGTCTAAAGCTGGGGTCCCAGGGATGCAAGCAGCACAACTCAGTCTAGCTCCAAAGCCCAAAACCAGGGAAGTCAATGGTGTAACGGGAAGCATGAGGCTGAAACCCTGGGCCCTGTGGCCCCTGGCCTGCCTGGAGTTTTGATGTCCCACACAGGAAGGGGGGAGAGGAAATCTTCTCCTTCCTTTTTTTGTGGTGGATATTCCCTACTTAGAAAGTTCACCACTATGTTGACCAGTCTGCTCCAGAAACACCATCTAAGCACCTGCACATGTACAGAAACAAAGCTTCACTAATTCTCCAGGCACAGTACCTGCCCCCTTATTCACACGGGCTTGCTGCAAGATCTCCAGTGGATGCCTGAAGCTTCAGGTATCCTGACACATGCCATGGTTTTGTTTTCTATGCTAGGCAGAAGGATGATTCACATGGGACAGAGTGAGACAACACGAGGTTTCATTGGATATACCATACTGCAATGCATAATTTAAATTTTATGAATCGTTAAAATCCAGAATTTTCTATTTAACATTTTTAGGTCTCGGTTGACCTCAGGTAACTGAAACCACAGGGAATGAGACCACTTCTGAGGGTGGGAGGTGGCTGTCATCTAAAATTAACTGGCACAGGAAATAAATTTTATCAGCCAACTATCCTTTGGTTCCTTCATCTCAACAGAGGTGATAGTACTTACCTCAGAGGGGTTAAGCATATAAGCATGGAATCAATTAGATAATATCATAAACACTTAACATGGCGCTTTTGGATATTAGCTACTGCTGCCACTACTGTTGCTAATTGGCCCCAAGGTCTACAGTGAGAATATAACAATAGGGCTATGTCCTCATTTGAAAATGCATTAAATATACTAATCTACACTGGACATCACAGTGCAGTTTCTACTGATTGTGTACTGCTTTGGCAGCACTGCACAGTCAAACAAAACAAAACAAAATAAAATAATCCTAAATTGAAAAGTCATGACTTAGGGACTATCTAAGGTCTAAATGGAGAGTGCAGCAAGTGTTAACTCCAGACCCAAAGGATTTAGTATGAAACACAGAATGTAAACAGTTCATTTATTACTTTAATACTGACTTCATACTGACATGTTAGTATCTGGGGTGACTTAAGTGCTCTTTTTACTTCACTCCATGAGGCTTTTAGAAACACTAGGTCACATGTGTGGGCTGCACTGGTGTGTGGCACCTGTGCCCTGTATGACTTGTCCCACTGAGGCTCCTTCACACCCAGTGTGGCATACCTCAACGTCTGGTGTATTGGAGAGGAACTCCAGGCATGTCGTCTTCCCACTCGCAATGTTGCCCTCAACACAGACCTGGCAAAAGACAAATGTACATGAGGGATGGAGATGAAGCACCCAGGGAACATGCAGGAACAACTAGGCTCAGGTAAACAGACCACTTGGTCCCGTCCAGGACTTTGAGTGGTAAGCCAAACCCTGCCTCAGGAAACCCCCAAGAGAATATCCCACTAAGCAGGAAAAGCATCACCCGCCCTGTACCCTTCTGACAAACACACATGATCCATCTACACCAGACCCAGACCCTCCCTATTTTTGTTTTAAATAACAAGTTGAGGTCAAACCTAGAGAGAGCCTCATATATGTCGATCATTGTCATGACGGAAGTACACCTCAGCCCAAACCAAGACACCCTTACCACACTTTATGTCACCTGAACTCACACTCAGCTCAACTGCCAGTCAGGTTCTGAGCCCTTCCCTAACACCACACTTCAGATTGCCATGTGTCAGCTACAAAAGTGTTCTGTTTCCTTAACCTGAGTCGTATCAATGGCTTTGAGGTTAAAAGCATGTATATGCTCTCTAGGATCCAAGTCAGTCCCTGACTTGTAGGCAAGAAGCTCTCAGACACTGTTTTGGTTTTGGTTCCAGCGGATCACAAGGGGTACACAGTTCAGCATAAGACAAACTGGCCCTTAAGAACGCTCTTACACATCCTGTGCGTCAGAAAAGTACCTACCCTCATATAGTGGTCTGTTGCTTCACACCCAGGCGGAAGTACCCACAGGTATGTGGTGACTTGCCAAGGCAGTCCTGCAAGCAGGTGGGCTGAACTGACACCCAGGCCCAACAGGCCCCTTCCCATGCCTTTAGGTGGCATCTGTCACATTCTACATATAACAACTATCACTACTGGCCACCTCACCATACCTAATATAAAACTCTCCCTAGCAAGTACAGTGGCAGCAAAAGTTTCCAGCCTTGAACCTAAGAAGTGTCCAGAAATGGACGACGACACTCCCTACAGATGCAGGTCCACCCTCCGATCCCAGGTCCCTGCCAGTCTGTAGCTTAGAAACCAGTGTAAATACAAAGTGAACCCAAAGGAGTAAGTGAAAAACAAGAAGTCTCGCAGGGCACCACTGGGCTTTTGGTTGCTGCTCTTCCCTGAAGACTGTTTTTCCTCTCCCTGCACAACCAAAAGGAGCTCTGGACCAAAGTAAGCTGGACATTACTCTACATCTGATACTTCTTTCCTGTTCACTACAAGGACTTCATTGCTACTGGGGCTGTCAGAACACTTGCTTCTATTCCCACCATGAAATTCTGGAGGGATGGTAAATGTAGACCTCAAATGTGCTCAGCCAGCACCCCACCCCATCATACAGCAAGCAACATAGAAATAGGAATGCAAAAGGAAATTCGGGGAAAGAGGTTTGTTTGTTTATTTGTTTGTTTGTTTTTGTGAAGGTTCACTATGTAATTCAGAATCCTGGCCTGGAACTTATAATCCTCCTGCTTCAGCCACCTGAGTAGAATTACAGGCATATACTACCACACTCAGCCCAGATCCTTCTTTTATGAATGAGCTCCAAGCCAGCTAGGACATGACTGACCCCTGTTGGGGGAGGAGGAATGCTAATAATAATCACCCATAACCCCACGGAACTGCCAACCACCAAGAACAAACATGCAGCATTCCTCCTACTCCTAAAGGTAAAGACCCCTCTACTCCTCTCTGCGTCTTACCACATAGGACTCCCTCTGTGCTCTACCACCATCTCACCCTGAAGGGCAAATCAGATCACACGGCACGGCAGTGCTGTGATTTAAATGTGTCCCCTAAAGTTCACCAGCTGGAAACTTAGTCCAACAGTGTTGAGAGATTCGACCTTGAAGACAGACTGTGAGCTCTGCCGTCAGGAATGACTTGATGCCAGTACCGTAGAGGTACACCAGTTATGAGTGGAGGGGGTCCTGATAAAAAAGGACACGGACGGTTGGTGAGCCTCTCTGCTCTGCTCTGCTCTTTCATGATATGAAGTATGCATGCAGCCTCCAGCAGACACTAGTCCTTCAACCTTAAACTTCCCTGCCTCCAGAAACATGAACCAAATGCATTTCTACTCCTCAAAAGTTACGTGATACACTCTTTAACCCCAGCACTCTCTAGGGGCAGACTATAAGACCAGGCCTATGGCTATCCTCAGTCTTAGCAACTGCAGCTCCCTCTCCTCCACCTCTCAGGGGGCATCAAGGCTGTTCTCAGTCATTAGTCACCCTCTCAAATCCCCAGACTCACTGACCTTTTTATTGTCTCCTCTGTCAGAATGACCTTAGACAGCCTCATGCCAGTGGCTACTTTGTTTTCAGGTCCCAAGATTTCAGTCCAGCGCCTCCCACACAGAAACATACTTAAATGGCTATCAGCAGGCTCCACACTAACCACCTCCTACAAACTGCTACTGTGCACCCAAAGGTGCACTAGAGCACATCCAGATAGACCCAGCACTAACCAATGTTAGCTCAACAATTACCAACACAGTAATACATTCATTTCCACCACCACCCCCGATTTCTAGTCACTGGATGTCACTCCCATCTGTCATATGCTCTTCTAATTTTTTAGATGTCCTTTAGGTGTGTGGCTGATTTGCCTGCTTGTATGTCTGTGCTCCAATGAATGCCAGGTGTCCATGGAGACCAGAAGAGGGTCAGATCCTTTGGGATTGGAATTAAATAGTTTGTGAGATGTCATGTGGGTGCCAGAAACAAAAATCTGAAACTTCTGCAAAATCAACAAGAGCTCTTAACTGCTAAACCATTTCTCCAGCCCCTCTTCTTCTAACCTTAGTAAGATTTCATGAATTGCAAGTATCTTAATAACCAGGCCTCTTCTCTCCCTGTGATGTCACTCCTTCCCAGGCCCACTTCTTCTTCCTGACTACTCCCCAATGGGGAATGGAGAAGGGCACACTTTCCATCCTCGACAGAGGCATCCACACTCCTGCTACCCTTTTCCCAGCCACCAGAGCTACAGCCTTTCAGCTCTCTTACAGAAATGAGCCCCTGACCACGTGGAGTGATTGCACCTGAGATCTCAGTATTAAGGGGTTGAAGCTGAAGGACCACAAGTTTGAGGCCAGCCTGGGTACATGGTGAGACTGTCTCAAAGGAAGAAACTGAATTCCTGGGCTGACGGTAACCAAAATATTGCCTCAACATCTGAACCTGTCCAACCTGTGCTTCCTTTGACCTTCAACCTCACAGCCCTACCCACAGAGCCAGCCTGTCAAGCACCTCCCAACTGAGTCCACCCTGTGGACCCTCATAGATAGACAGCAGAGAAGACTTTCCCTCACATCCGGGCTGGGCAATCAACACAGCAGTTCACAGCTGCCTGAAGAATTGTACTACGTGAGGCCCCTACCTGGGCAGGCTCGGGGGAGTACAGATAGTAAATGGCTAACAGAGGTAGTCTCTGGGGAGAGGGCCTGCAGCACAAAAAGGAAGAGAGATTTTTATCCCTGGATATTGTCTTGTGCTTGTGTTTTCACCGTGTACACATACTGCTTCACTCTCCACCTCAAAAACGAATAAATTATTCTACACTGGAGAATGCATGCAAAGAGGAACTTACCACTGCTTTTTTCTCTTTATCATTCTCTCTGTCTTTATCTAAAAAAAAAAAAAAAAAAAAGGAAAGAAAAAGAAACCAGTGTTTCAATTATTCACTCTGCTCTGTGCTAATCTGATAAATGACCACACAAACATTTTTATGCTTGCTCCTTGGCTTTAAAAAAAAAAAAAACTGTTTACAATTCTCTAGACCCTCTACGTGACACTGTAGAATGGCTGCCTGGGACCAGGTCTGTTTGTGCTTGCTTGCTTGCTTACGTTCCTTCACTTGGTACATTCTACTTCCCATTTTCACCTGCGCTGTGTGCTTAGGATCTTCACAGTGGACACAAAGAGCGACCGGCACTCAAAGAGACTCGATTAAGGCTGGGACCCAGGCTGTCTGTTCCCTAGGCTAAGACTGGCAACACTGACAACCCACTGGGCCCGAGGCCAGTAAAAGCCATGCTTCGTGGCTTCCATTTCGCAAGAGGAAGATCCCCCAATGCCAGCGAGAGTGGGAGGAAGTCAGAAGCCTAAACCCGGCTCTTAGGTCCGCAGGCACTTGCACCCAATGAGGGCTGATTAAATGCAGCTCCCGTCCCAACAGTCCCCAAGCTTAAAGAATATGACCAGGAAATGGGCCGAGAAGCCGCGCTTGGACCCCACTAAGTGTCGGTCCTCACAGTTCTTTAGGGCCCCAGTCCCGGGAAGTCCGGGACTTGCAGGTGAGGGGGAGGGACCAGCGCAGCCCTCTGAGATGGTACAAAAGTACTAGTTACCCGGAGGCCAGGCGCGGCGAGGTGCCCACAGCGGCCCAGCACCCGAATCGAGATTCCCGGGATTGCCGGGGCTCCCGGGGCTCCCAGGGACCGTGCTGCGTAGCCGCCGCGCAGCCCAACCACGGAGGGACCGCAGCAGCATAGCACCCAGCTGACTTGCTAGCAAGACTTCCTTCCGGTGCGTCTCGGAGCCCCGCCCATCTCTAGCCCCGCCCCGCTCCACCTCCCTCTGGCCCCGCCCTTTAAACGGTCCTCTTGTATTTCTTCTTAGCTGGAAGAGATTCAAATTGAAGATTGCCCAGTTTACAGACCTAAGAATGCCCCTGACTCAAGTATGCTTGGAGAACGGGTGGCTAATAATGCCAGAGGCTTTTTGGTTCCTTAGTGTATCAGATTACCTCATTGATTGCCTGCTCCACCCACACCTAGCGCGCGCCTACTCAGAATGTGTTGCATTTTTCTACTAACAACCCAGCAGGTAGATCTTGTCATTCCCATTCTTCAAGCTTGTCCTTGAAGAACTGGGCACCTTGCTTGAAAGGGCACCAGGTTTAATCTCCATTAATCACAAAAAGCAGCAAGAGGGACGTAGGGAAGAGAGGAGCTGGGATGAAAGCTTTTCTTTCCCCAGAGCCTTTGACATTTCCAACGTTTGGACTCTAATGTTGACTCCTCAGGAAGGCATAACCAAAATCTCCACTGAATGGACCAAAAAGGATAAGAAGGGAGCTTACAACCCCCACTTGTAAGCAGATAGCAAAATAAGCCTGGATTAGGGGTAGCTTGGGTACTATAATTCATCCGTCCCAGCCAATAAACCCAGATGTTGCCACCTTGACTGTAACACGGTGGTTACAATGTGGGGGTAGAGAAGCTTTCCACTTCTTCCAGCTTGTAAGATACTGGCAGTCATCTTGGACAGGAAGAAGAAAGACATTAAAAGCCACCACCCTCGCTGGCTGTCCCGATTATTTGCTAGGCGCCTGGCAAAGGCAAAAGTAATCTTCAAAATCAAAGTCAACGTTTTTGTGAGCATATTGGGGTGATCAGGTCTTAGATAGGCGGGGTCCAAAGGGGTCTAAATAGACCGGGGCAGTGGGCTAGTTAATTCTTATCAACTTAACACAAACTAGAAACTGGGGTAAGGGAGCCTCGGTTGAGAAATTGGCTGCACCAGATTGGCACGTGGGTCTGCTGACTGTGGGCAGTGCTGTCCCTGGGCAGGTGAGCCTTGGCTATTTATGAATGAGGAAGCCAGAGGACAGAAACCAGTAAATACTGTTACTTCCTCCATGGTCTACTTCAGTTTCTGCCTCAGATCCCAGCCTTGAGTTTCTGCTTTGTCTTCCCTTAGTGAAAGGCTGTAGCCTTTAAGCCAAATAATAGCCCTTTCTTCCCCGGCTTGTTTCGGTCAGTGTTTCTTTTATCACAGCAATGGAGAAGCAAACCAGGACAGGTGGTGACCCAATCATCCAAGGCAAGTCCCAAGACTTAAATCACATAAGAGAAGTGGCACGTGCTTCTTGTGTCTAAAAAGAAATGGGATAGTCCTGGCTACACCTGGAGCACTTTTTATAAGCTGAAAGCTGATCTAGTTGTGGGACAACTAACAACAGGGAGAGGCAGGCTTTGCACATCCTGAGAGCAAGGACAGACTAGGAGGGCCAGGCTGTAAGTTCAGGCTACACATTCTACATCTGTTGATGAGAGCACCAGAGCCTGGGGACCCTGCAGGGAGAGAAGCAGAGTCTTGCTTTGTAGAATTTATATTTTTATTAACTGATAAATAATTGTACAGATTTACAAGGCATCATGTGAGCTTTCATTACATGTACACATATTGAAAATGTGTAATACTCATGTCAGGGTAAGTCAGTCTCTTCGGAATAATTTCTGTGCTGAAAACAATCAAATTCCTTTCTCGTGGCTTTTCATTTTAAATAAAACAGTACACTCAGGTTATCCACAGTCAATCATACTGTCTAACAGAACACTGGAATTTCTTTCTCCTAAGTCTAACTTATTACCAGTTTTCCCGCGGGATATGCTTATTATCTGAGATGAGCTACCAAAAGGATGCAGAGGAATGCCTGGCCGCTCTAAAGAAGGTGACCAGTGGAAATCCTAAGGATTCTCAAAAGGCGAGGAGGCGAGGCTGCCGTTCTTGGATCTTTCTTCCCTACTCCAACACTGCTTTTCCACTGGAAAGCTCCTGCGCAGAGCGTTGGTGCCGAGCTGCCCCGGGTTAGGTGGGGTGGACCGGCTTGGCTCCGGATCTGCGCTGTATTGGGAGTTTAGAGTCTAGAGTCAGGCGGGCGTGGAGTGGGCGGTCTGCGCTACTGCGCACGCGTTCCCGCACTTGCGCCAGAGAGGGGAGGTAAAGCCGACCCAGCAGCGGCAGTTAAAGATGTGGCGCGAGTCCTGAAAAGAGCAATTAACTGAGAAGGACTGGAAGAGAAGCGGGACTGTTGGTTGGACCTGTGTGCGAGATGGAGTCTCCACAGGAGAAGGAAGATCAGCCGTTCTTCTGCATGACTCTGAAAGGCTTTGTGAAAATACTGCGTTTGGTGAGAACCGGGGAGAGAACGCAGGGCGGTGGTCAAGTGTGTTTCGGGGTGGAGAAGACGGGGTTAGGAAGCCCGGAGCAGCTTTTGCTCGGTCACCTTGTTTCCAGACACGTCTTTCCAGATGCAAGTCATTGCTCTATTGCTCTGTCCGCTGAGAGGAGGACCATAGCGTGGCCTCCCCTTCAGATGGTGTAGGGACACACCCATAGGTCTAACTGAATGACCCTCATTTGGATCACAAATTGGTGGTAACCTACCAGACAAGACAGTTCCAGTCTCACCACTCAGAAGCCTACAAGATGTTTAAAAAAAAAAAAAAGTTGATGATCTTTTACCGTAACTCGGACATTTGAAGTCACCTAACTCAGTATATAACCAGAGCAAGAGCACAGAGGACACTGCCCTTATTAGGGCTCCAGACATAACAGGGCATTGCAGTCCCTTCTGGACAGCGCTTTGGAGAAAGGAGAGCATCAATAAAGGGTAACGTCCCTAGCTACTTAGGGACATACAAACAAAACCCGGAAGAGGGCTCGCTCCTTAACTGTGGCTCCTCCCCCAACCCTGAACCTCTCCAGTCCAGGGGCTGGGCTAACCTTCCCTAACCTCGGCTTCTCTCTTCTCTATAAACCAGCCTTTTCATCGACTGTTGGTCATCTGCTCCTCTCTTGGCCCTCTTGCCCTTTCTCCTCTCTCTTCTCTTCCTATCTCTCTCCCTCTCCTCTCACAGTCCAGTTCAGTCTGGACTCTTCCAGAAGCCTCTGGCTGTATTCTCATATCTAGAATAAAACTTTCTCCTCAAGCATACCTCGGAGCGGTCATGTCCTCATTTTCATTCACAAACTACCGTAGTTGAAGAAATGTAAGAAAACTCAAAGAGAAAGGAAAAGTAGTTCATTTAAACTTTTGAAGAGTTGACATAAGATAGTTAAAAGTTACAAGGGAAACATTTCCACCTGACATGAAGAAAAGAGTTTTTATTTTGAAAGGGTGCCAATTTTAAATGAACACGCATGGAAGGCAGTATGAGGATGTTGTAAAGGAGATTCAAACTTCTCCTTTGAGTAGTTTGAATGAGTAAAATAAACTGCATATGAAATCTTCCCCATGCCACAAGTCTATGGTTCTGAGAAATAGCTACAAGTTATGGCTCATGTGATACATTTAGAAAAGTACTCCAGAGCCAAGGATGAGATTACCTTTGCTTTATTTAATCAAGAAGGTGACTGATGAACATTAGGGTCCAAAATTTCTAGAACACTGGGGGAAAAAAAAAGTGTTTTTTTTTTTTTGTTTTGTTTTTGTTTTTTTGTGTTTTGGGGAAGGGGTTAAGTTTGATATTACTTCTTTTTTGTTGTTCTGTTTTGGTTTTAATAGGGTCTCACAGCATGTCCCTGTCTGGCCTTAAAATCACCCTGAGTTCCACCTGTCTCTGCTAGGTTTAACATTTTTATTATTATTATTATTATTATTATTATTATTATTATTATTATTATTATTTGAAGTAATAACCAACTGTTTTTACTTCCACTTTTTTTTTAAGATTTAGAATGTTTTGCCTGCATGTATTTTATGTGTATGTATCACATGAGTACTTGGTGCTTTCTAAGGTCTTTTCTCCTCCTCCTCCTCCTCCTCCTCCTCCTCC